CTGTTTTCTTGTTAATACTTTATGCTGATGGAGTATGATTTTATGTAGTCCCTTTGAAAATTTCACTCCATTGCTTATTCTTTGATTCTAATTTTGCATGAAGCACAGGAAGTGGCATTACATGGCCTATCCTCAGAGATATTCCTTGATTATATATTGAATTAAGTGAAGATGTAATTCATCATCTAAAGAATGTGGATGGCTTTGATTTTGTACCTCTGACTTCTAAGCAAATGCCAACTACTTCAAGAGATTGTCTTAACATTCTGAGCTGCTTCTCTCCCATTCCCCAAATTTATCTTGATCCAGGTAAGAGATAAGATGGGTGGCTGATCCAGCTTCTAAGCACCTAAAGAACAATGCTGGAGGATTTGAGGGTAACACAAAGAGAACTTTTTTTTTTTTGCCCTGCTTGAGAAGGTTTAGAAACTACTGTTTTCTTTTATTCTTCACTTCAGGTCATGGGTGGTTGAAATGGGTTTTTTTATCTTTAGTTTTGTTTGAATTTGCACAGACTTCTGAAGCATGCATACGTGTGTAGAGAGACAGGATTTGGTTAAGGCCGGCTTGAGACTTACCGAAGTTGCCGTAAGGTACACGCGTGTTGTGCTTCCCCTCAGTCGCGGAGTAGCAGGCGCACCGCGGACCTTGGGGTAGCCCACCTGTGCTAAACACGGGCTGGGCGGCCTGCTGCAGCCGTGGTTCTCTTGACCTTTTTCTGACTTTCTTGGTCTTCCTTTCCTGTTTTCCTGTTGTCTTTTGTTTTTGTTGCTTACCTGCCTGAATCTGCCAGTGGCTCCCGGGAGAGCCACCTGAATTGTTCAACAGCTGTTCACTGCGCTTGCGCAGAGCAGCAGGGCCCCTGCTGGAGGGCCGGGAGAGTCAGGTTAGAGCGAGCAGCCCCAGCTGCAGGTAGCTCTCAATCTAGTAACTTTAGACGCACCCTGTTTAGAAACTGCTACAGAGTTTAAGCCAAGTGTAAGTACAGTTTGAGAATCCTACCTAAATGTCACACTTTGTCAGAAATTTTCCCACTGAGGTAATGTTTTTTCTAAAATAAAAAGTAACCCATAATACCATGGTATTTAACAGGTATTTTCAGTTTTGTGCCTTAAATCGCATGGGCATATATTTTATCTGGTTGGTAATTGTAGTTATCCTATTTGTATTGTTCTTATTATCATAAAAAATGTATTTCCAGTTTCTATGCGTTATTGACAATTATTTTTAAATGGCTACATGATATTCTAGTGTGTTGCTGTATCAGTTTATTTAAGCATTGCTCTATTTTTAGATTTTCTATTTGCCTTTTAAAAAATGCTTTGAACACCTTTATACATGTATCTTTGTTTCTTCCTTAAAATTATTCCACTGGAATAAAGTTCCAGAAATAGAATTATTGAGTCAAAGGATACAATTATTGTGGCTCTTGCTACATGTTGCTGTGTTGCTTTCCAGAAACGTCTACCAACTTATCAGCAGTAATAAAGGGATGTGCCGGTGGCACTAATACCTTAATTCTACTTTAATGGGTTTAACATGTATCTCAAAATTGCTTATTTGCATTTCTTTGGTTACTCTCACCAATTAGTCTTACAGCAGAATTTAAAACATTAAGGTTGCTTTGCTGATTTCATTCCCCTTGTAAAGAAAGATGAAGTTCTAGATATTTACTCCTGGGAACTTGATGGTGTAAACCGGTTTTTTTTTTTTAAGGGTTTTTCAGTTTTCTTGCTTAAAGCTTCACTCTACTTGCAAGCTGTGCTTCATAGTGTTGTGTGATCCATCTAAAATCAAGTCTAATCCATATCACTCCGTTATGTAAAACTCTTGCCTTATTGGAAAAAGTGGAAGCTTTTTAGTGTGATTTTTAGGGTGTTCTAGGATCTAAGCCCTTACCCATGGCTCCAGCCATGCCTTTTCTCCTTTCCAGCCTCAGTTTCCATGTAGCTTGAGCCTGTATCTGTGATTGCTTCTTGTGACACAATACACTCTGTTAATAAGCAATACACGGTACATCATTTACATGTCTGCCTTCCCCATAGGACTGTGTGAGTCCTCGAAACAGTGATGAGGTCCTGGTGGTCCCCGTCTGTGTCCAATAAATATTTGTTCAGCTATACTGAAAATATGGGGGTAAAATTTTAGACTTTTTTCCTCTTAATATTTAGATTGGTAATTAAAAGAAAGAAACTGTATCCTTCTAAAAGAAGTACAGTACCGTGTGGTGGTAATCTCTCACTGCCTCAGTTCGCGTCTAAGATGGGCATAGTAGTAACCACCTCCTAAGGCTATTGTGAGGATTAAATGAGATGATACACATTAGCGCTTGAAACATTGCCTCACACAACATAGTGCACAGTAAATTACTACCATCATTATCTTTTTCTGTGAATTTTGTTTTAAATGCTAGAAGGTGTATTTGACAGAATGGTCTTGATTTGACTTTTGGGACTACAGCATTTCACCTTTTTGGTAGCATGTCAGGATGTAGACGCAAGAGGATAGTTCTGTGCTTAAAATAATGATGTAGCAGTTATTCCTTGCACAGATTCTTTAGTCTGTCTTTTAAAATTTATCTGCGCTATAGGGATGGTACTTCATTAGATGGTTGTGGGGTGAATTAAGTCTTGAGCAAAGCTCAGTCTTTAGAAATAACGTGATTAGAGTTAGCTTCACAGGATATCAGATATTAATCTTTCTCCATCAATAAATTTGGACTTGGGGGAACCAGAAGTAGAATCTAGTAGCTTTGTGAGATGCATAAAATATCTTAAATACTGTTAGGAAGCAGATCTTGCAATCAGCAGGTATATGAAGCTTTTTTTTTTTTCTCCTTGTATCTACTAGCACCTGTGAGTAGCTGCAGGGGATTCAAACTAGTATAAATTCTTCAAAGAACTTTCATTAATAACTGTGGCCAGAAGTCTCATGTGAATGAGATACTCAGCAGTGTAGGGCAGTGGAGGTGCCCCGTGTATCCCTGTCTGTAGCCTCAGGCCGCACAGCTCTGCTTTACGGGCAGTTCTTCTCCAGTCGTCACAACGTAGAGGCCAATTCAGATAAGAAAGGGCAAGAGCAGGCTTGACCAGGAAGCCTCACCCCCACTAATAAGATGGCTAGAGGGGTGCCGGAGCAGCTTCATGTGGGAGGTGCTATTCTTTAGGAATCTGTCTTCCACGTTTCAACGAGCAGCAGTTTGAGTGTCGTGCTACTGAATTCACTGGTTTGGTTTCCCCAGCGCCTCTCCACGTGCCGTCTGAAAGGTGTGCAGTGTCTACCTGTATCTGTATCATAATGTTACTCTGGATTAGGGCATTGGCTTCTGGCAAAACGATAATTTATCTTTTACTGAAAGATTAGAGGGAGCTGACATTACTAATTTCGTTTAGCTCAGTTAGTCCTCATAAACTCTGTGAAATAGGACCTCTTATAATCCCCATTATACAAATGATGATACTCATACTTAGGAAGGTTGTTCTTGCCAAAGGCCACTCTGGTGATGCAGCTTAACTTGAAGCCAATGTCTGAAACCACTGTAGTTATGTGCTCCCCACAGAAAGATGACAGGAAGACAGAGCCGTCGTCTGAAAAGAAGACTGTGTGTCAGTTACTTCAGGAGGGGCGGCTTGAGGATGGCTGGAACTACTGAATGTTCCTGAAGCGGAGCCAGTTTAATTTTGTTGATTACTGAGTTTGAGAAGATGACGTCCAGTGAGATACGCTCAGTTCCCACATGTGTTTAAAAAAATATATGGGCTGGTCCTAACCTTTTCATGTCAAATTCATAGTAGTGGTCATAAATGTTTTCTCTTTCTCTTTACTTTAACCAGTAATATAGCCCATTCCACAGGAATTAAGTTTTTTCCATTTTTATTCTCTTCTGTTCTGCATGTGTTGTAGGGATAAGGGGTAGATGATGAAAATGGCTGTTTACAAGAAAAATGAAAACAAATTAGGCTTTGCTGCATAATCTAATTGTTAAAAAATATATAGCCTCCTAGTCATAGGGGTAAATGGGCTTGTGTTAGTCTAGTGCCTTAAAGCCATATTTTTACCTTTCTCTCAACGTGTAACCATGGTGAGCACAGTCGCTGAACTGTTTGAATTAAAAACCAAATTGCTATGTTTTCAACAGGATGCATTCAGTTTACTAGCCTATTCAGATCCTTGGAACAGCCCAGTTGGAAATCAACTTGACCCAATTCAGAGAGAACCTGTGTGCTCAGCTCTTAACAGTGCAATATTAGGTAAGTGAAGCCAGAAAGTACTTCAGCTAGTCTCTGGGGTATTTGAGATGGTATTTGTGCTGGCATTTATATTTTGGTAAAATCATAAGGGAAATATTTTCTACATTTAAAAAATTAAAATTACCTTAAAGTATAGGAAACTTCCTCTGGTATCTCAATCCCAGATTAAATAGATTCAAATGGAGTAAAAACAGTATATTGGGGTGCATCTTGTGATTCTGGAAGACAGAAGTTTTTGTGTGAACGTGTACATAAGCATATCTGGCCCGAGCCACCCATGTCGCAGCTCCCACGGGGCTCGAGTGCTGTCAGCATCAACCCTTGGAGACACGTGGCATTCTCATTGAAGTTCAGCATATTTAACTACATGCCCTTACCAAGTAAAAAAGGGAGGGAAGGGGAGAACAGCAGGCTTAGGCAGGGGGAGCACGAAGCGAGAAACTGGGATTTGCTGTCCCCGGTTGGTTGCCATCCTGTGAGCAACTCACTGCAGAGGAGGAGTGTGGTATTTATGTACTGAACAAGTATTTTTTTTTAAACAGAGGACAATTTTTTTTTTCAATCTTTATTTATTCTTGGCCGCGTTGGGTCTTCGTTGCTGCACGCGGGCTTTCTCTAGTTGCGGCGAGCAGGGGCTACTCTTCGTTGCGGTGCGCGGGCTTCTCATTGCAGTGGCTCCTCTTGTTGCAGAGTACGGGCTCTAGGCGCGCAGGCTTCAGTAGTTGTGGCACGCGGGCTTAGTTGCTCCGCGGCATGTGGGATCTTCCTGGACCAGGGATCAAACCCGTGTCCCCTGCATTGGCAGGTGGATTCTTAACCACTGAGCCACCAGGGAGTCCCCTGAACGTGCGGTTATATATCAACTACAGGGTTGATTGTTTACATAAAACTTTTCGTATCTGGGCAGTTTTTCTCAGAGGTAGTTCAGATGAGAGCGATTTTTCACCTTTTTAGAATGTAATTCCTCAAGAAAAATGGGGACTGCCAGTTTAGAAGTCTGTTCTGTGCTGTTTGGCCCTGTTAGGTTTATGTCTGAAACTCTCTCTTAGATAAATAGGATCAGTGTCACACAGAGAGACTTGGAGTGAAGGCCAGGGCTCATGTGGCTGGAATGTAAAGGAAGCAGTTTAAAAGTATGCACGTTTGGGCCTTAATCTGCTTCTTTGTCCTTCTGAAGTTCATTATTCATGGTGTCATGGTCTAACACTGAAGTTCTGGAATAGTAGTAGTGTTTTTTGTGTTATACTTTTCTTATACAAATTCAATGTGAATTTTCTTTGGATAATGTGTATTTTCTTTGGTTATACAAAATTCATTTAGCTTTATTGGTAAAAATAAGTGTACTTAGTAGCAGTGCTGGGATCGTAGGGCAAATAATGGTTTACTATAATTGTCTTTTTGAAATGACTACATTATAGGTAATCATGAAGCCCTAAATTGCTTTGTATCTAGGTAAACACTCAGACTTCCAAAGAATTTTTGAAAAGTGAACAGTTTTCTTACGACAGTTAAAAATCTTGGGTTCTCCAGGGGAGTTAAAATTTTCAGTAGTAAATTGCTTAGGACCATTATCCAGGATATGGGTATTCTTACATATTGTGCCATGTATTATGTAGTTCAGCTGTAAATAGTGCTTAAACTTACATTAAATGTATATAATTCTTGCAAAAGTAATGAGACTTAAATTGCTGTGGATGCATGTGTGCATATTTATAAACACTGTGCTGTATTATATAGCTTCATCTCTAAATAGTGCTTAAAGTTATATGATATGTAATTCCTGTGAGTTTCATATGCTAAAAAAATTTAAAGATGCTTACAGATGTGCCTCCCTTGGCCAAAATGAAACTGTAATGTGCTTATTACCTCTGAGCAAGGTTACTTCCCTGTGAACCTTCAAGAGATATTTTTGAAAGGATGGTTTCCCTTTTCATTGTTTATTGTTATGGTGATTTTGTGTAAAAATAAATTGTTCCTGATTCTAGCTGAGGCAGAGTTAGTTTATAAAGTCATTCCTGCTTAGAGTTGACCAAAAAATGTATCACCATCAGAATTTAGCTGCAGAGCGTCTTGCCAGAGAACAGCTAGCACTTGAATAATCTTAACCCACAGACCACTTTTCACCAGCGTGTGCATCTTTTCTTGCATATCTGTATTCTAATATTCTTCATCCTGTGTTACTTCCCCTTACACCTTAAGTCCGGAACCTGCTCCCTTTATTTCTGCCTCATCCCTTCCGGAACTTCTCTTTCTCCCACCGCTATGTGCAGCCTCAGAACCAACCACAAGGAGCCTTAACCAGCCCTGGATCGCTGTTCTTGCCCTGCTGTCAGCTGTGCCTACAAGGACTGATTAGTAATTTACTAACTGGGAATCTGCCTAAAATTAAAATTTGGACACCTCCACACGAGCAAGTTATCGGCTTCTATGGGTTTGGTCACTTTTATCACTAGTTCAGTTTTTCATTTCTGGCAAAGAATGAATTTTGCTGATGGTTACATTTGTACTACAGCTGTCTGACAAATGTCTGGTAGGAAGGACCCTGAACACTTTCATTTAATGGTGATTTTTACAGATGTTTATCCTATCAGTTGTAAATTAACTCCTCAGATTATAGGGTCGTTTGGCTCAGTTGTCTCTCGTGGTCACCATCACCACCTGCTCCCTTACCAACCCAAATGACATTCACCAACATGCCATGGAAAGGATTCGGCAGCCTCTGTTGGGTCCTGTTCCCAGAAGGGGAAGAATCCATCAGTGAAACTTGTACCGAAAACCTGGTGCCGTTTTCTTTGATAATGTCAGTTGACCTTGGAAAAATAGAAGGGAAATACTAAATATTCCTTACTCCCCACTGCAAACATTAGATAATTACATCGTTTCCATCATAGTAAATGTGGGAGTTTTTGAGTGTCTAACACCTTGAAAGTCTAATTCTGCAAGAAGTTTTTCTTATTACTTGAATACCCAGTAACCATATTACCTTGTCGGAGTAGATGTCCAAGGCATGTGCTGTTTGCTTAAAAACCACCTTTGCTAGTTAGGTAGTTAAGAGCAGTATAGACATTGGTAATTTTGTAAGTAATGCAGTATTTTCCTGATTGAGAGACGTTGTTTGAAATGTATTGCTAATTGCTATTTCCATTTTTAATCATTTTTCCTCAGAAACCCACAATCTGCCAAAGCAACCTCCACTTGCCCTAGCCATGGGACAGGCCACACAGTGTCTAGGACTGATGGCGCGATCAGGAATTGGATCCTGTGCTTTTGCCACAGTGGAAGACTACCTACATTAGCTATGCATTCACGGAGCTCACACTTATATTGTGGCATATAGTCAACATGGAAGTAGACCAGTTCTGCTGATTTGAAATTTAGATTTTTTAAATTATGTACTGGGGACAGGTTTTTGTTGCTTTACATTGCTTCCTAGTTTACAGCATGATGCAAATGATTTTCTAACTTAGTGTTAGGAGAAATTATTTTCCATCTTTAACCTCTTAGTTGTCTAAGAGTTAAATATTACTGAATTTCAGACGTTCAAATTGATCATCACAAATCCTTTAAAACAATTACCTAAAAGAAACCAAAAAATCCTGCCTTCTTTGTTGGGGGGAGAGAGGGGGGAAGGAAACGGAACAAGTTGTGTTTGTGTTAGCATGTGGGTGATGTAAACTTCAAATTGGGAGGTGTTCTGACCCCCGCTCCCATGTAAGCAATTCAATCAGTGTAACTTGCAAAATGCATAAACATCTGACAGTTTGAATTTATAGTGTTGATGGAAGAAATCATTTTTAATGTGTACTGTAAAACTTGAAATACTCAGGAGCTGAGTGAATATGTTTGTTGCTACTTACAATCCCGACCTGTTAAGTCCCAGTAGTTTTGTTTTAACATGGTCTTTTTCAACTTTGTTTCCTGTTTAACTACAGATGACTTCTGTTGTAGACTCACAAGTTTAACTGTTGTATTATAACAGTATTACATGTCAACAGTGTGGTCATGACCTTTATTTATATAAAAACCAAATATTTAGTCAATTTACCGTGTCTTAATTTAATCTTTGTACACCTTCCATTTTTAAGTGCTTAAATGAGTACTATATTGCAATAAAAATGTAGTGATATAATTAACCAGCCATTAAATTAAAAATTTACTTCTACAGATACTAGAGTGTCAATTGAATTTATATTAGGTACTTGCATACTTCTCACAATTAGTATAAAGTTAGAACAACTAAAATGAGTGGTTGCTACTATAAATCTGAGTTCTGCAACCTCAGACTGCCTTGTGTTTACTGGCCTCTGTGGATTAGGGTCAAACCTGATACTATTGGGTGATACAGAAAGAAAGCAGGAAATGAATCTTCTAATATGGCATGTGACTTGCCATTTTTACAGCAAACTCCCAAACTGGTTAAAAGTAAAACATAAAAACAAGCTCTTCAACAGGATAACAAACCACCATATCCTTTGGTTTGGTAAACCTTCTTTTAAAAAAGAACAGATTATCTAGCTACACTTAGATACTGCACTCTTCCTCGTATTCTGTGAAATTCTCATCAATAGCACAAAAATATCCAAGAAACTAAAGCATCTGAGAGCTGTCGTGGAAGACTTTTCCTGCCACACACCCTGCAGGGGAGGGGGGAGGGGTAGCAGAGGAGCCCTACTGGTGTGGGCACTGGTTGTGTTCAATAAAATGGGTAAACAATTATAAAAAGAAAGGAAAACAAGTCCTTTTAAACTGCTTTTTCTTCCAGGATGCTCAAAGACTATAAGGCACAATTAATTATACTCCATGGATGAAATGTGACTGGGTACTACCCCAGACTTACGATTTTTATATAATGATCCTCTAAAATGATTTGTAAGTCTTTTATTAATTTTTTCAGAAAAATTAAATGCTCTAAACTAAAAATGTATAAGTTCTATACATACAAAGTCCTCGTTCTTCATTTAGCTTTGATTTAGTTCTTAGAAGTTTTCATCTTTCTGACCATCCAACGTCTTTTAAACCTCTTGGCATTTTGTTTTTTCTGGGATGCTAGAATAGAAGGTTTTGTGCAGTTAAGAATAATAAAGAGATAAAGTTCCCAAGAAACAATTCCAAATTTTCTAGTTAATACATGAGTGTAAATATTAAAATTAGGTATATGTGCATACATACTACACTGACCTATTCTTCAGAAGCAACTTTAAAATAGTAATAGAAGCCATTGTAAGAAAAAAATCGATACTTCATGAGTATTTACTATCTCCTTAAAAAAGAACATCTTTCAGGGACTTCCCTGGTGGTCCAGTGGTTAAGACTCTGTGCTCCCAATGCAGGGGGCCCGGGTTCGATCCCTGGTCAGGGAACTAAAGCCTGCATGCGCAACTAAAGATCCCACACGTGGCAGTGAATATCCCACGTGCCGCACGCAACTAAGACCCAGCACAGCCAAATAAACAGATTTTTTTTTTTTAAAGAACATTATTCAATATATAAAACTATCAGATTCAGAGAATAAAGCTGAATCTTACCCCAAGCATTATTCAAAAACTGGGCTGCGGCCTTTTTCACCGGTAACCTCTTGTTGTCAAGAGACAGGAACTTGTTTACTAGGAAAGAGAATTATTTATCATTGCTTTGTTTAACTTGCAGTTAAAAGGGAGAAAAATAGTCCATAAAGAAATTACCAGTAGTTCTGTTGGTTCCAGGACCATATAAACAATTTTGTATGAAGGCTTTGGCCGCTTCTTGCCTTGAATCTCTCAAATCTTGGTCTTTCAGCCTTACAGCCAAGTAGCTTTTATTCTGGCTGGTAATCAATACAAAAGGTCAAAATGAGGCAGTGCTTATTTTCAAAATAAAGTATTTTTGTTAGTTGACTCAAATAGTGGAAAACAATATCCCAAGTCCTAATTTTGTATATGCACGGGTAAGATGATAAAACTAAATTACAGGACTATTTTACAAGTAATGTTTACATCTTAGTAGAGCAAATAAATATTTTTTTTAATATAAATACCAAAAACTTTCCACAGAGGATCCAATCTGAAACTGCTACTAATTAAGCCAATACTCTCCTCCAAAGGTCACCTTTACATCCTACACACACAAAAAGAAGACTCTTCTTACCCAACAGTCTGTACTTTCTGCACTTTTTCTTTAGCTTTCTTTGAGTCACTTCCTTTCTCACATTCTTCATTTTTCTTTTGCAAATTCACTAAAAAATTGAGTTATATTTCTAATTAGCATTGGTGTAAAAATAAATCAGGAACACATACTGGAGTTCACTTTAAATACCCACTACACACCAGTGTGTGGTTTTTATTTGTAAGAAATAAGCTACAACTGGCCAGGCCTGTTCCCATGCTCTTTCTAAGGGTCAGTAACATTTGACTGCAAATACCTGCAAATGCAGTTGACACTTAATGAGAAGTTATTTAAATTAGAATAGTTCATACCTTCTTTCAACTTTGCCGGTGATTTCTTCACACTAAGGAAGAACAAGAAGAACACTAATTGGGATGGCAGAGAGCAAAGGTGACTCAACTTGTTAAAAAATTTCATCTAGTTTTACAAATAAGATACCCCTCCCCCCCTTTTACTACCACCATTCTCAGTTTTTACTTAGGATCTTTAGAAAGAAAGAGTCTCTCCCCAATGAACTGACAACTCAAAATCAACAAACTATACTAGGTTGGGAATATCTTCTCAGAATTTAAAATCTGAAAATATATTAGCAGGCTTCCAAAGAAGCAGACTGTTGTGGTTAACAGAGTTAAAGTGAAATATTTAAGAATTATATAGTACAGTATTTGAAATACAAAGTGAAAGGTGGTACGCCTGCCTCACTTTATTTGGAGAGATCTCGAAGGATTAATTGAACAATTTAGACACAAACGAGGATAGAGACAAGAATTTATAGCCTCAAGAAGTGCGGTCTAATGGAGAGAAAGGTAAATGGCAAAATACAATGAGATATCTACACAGAAGCACTTGCATACTGGAAAAAGCTCGACGGTGGAGCGAGCGATGGGGTGGAGGGAGTGAGAGAAGACAGGTGACATCTGGACTTGGTTTTGAAAGGTGAAAAGGACTTTGTCACCGTGATGTATTCAGAAACCGAGTAACTCTGGAAAAAGTTCTTTTACTGAAAATTTGAGAACCACTGTGCTAAGTCAAAGATGCAGGGCTAAACTTCTAAACTGAAAGCAGTAAGAGGAGACAAGGGGGAATGGGGAGGGGGGAAAGCAAATATTTAGAAATGTAAATTAAGTACGGTTTGACTGATTCCCTGGCACAGATGAGGAAAAGTAGCTTTAAACGTGCAGTGGATGGCAGAGCTGCTAAGTGAAATGGGGAACGAGGAGGGAGGCCAGGTTAGTGGCAGATAGGGCAAGTATGGGACAAGCTTGAGTTTTAGGAGCCTATGGATAATTGCCTGCTACTCCACTAAAGGATAAATTTCAAAACACTGTTTTGTTCACACCATCTATCCTGCCCCTAGTACAATGACAGTGGCCCACAACTTATTGAATGAACACACTAGGATCAGCAACTCAGAAACTAGAGTTACCTATGGGGAAAACAACAAACATAATAAAAACCAGAAGACTGAAAAGTGGAATATTTCCCTCAACCTGTCCCACCAAATTCAAATACTGTGTAGCTTTTTAATTTAGACTTTACAATTTCTTCAGTTATTTGAGTTCAAATTAATGTACCAATATGTAATTCAAAGACTGTATGTAGGCAAGTAAAAAAACGAGATCCATTACTTACCTAGTTTGTGAAGCTGTAGTTAACTTCTCTAGAATAGTATCTGGAAGAAGTTTTCTTTTCTTAAAAACGTTTTAAAAATCAATTAAAAGTGAGGTACACGACAATATGCCCTGGATTGCTTTTAAAAGTTACCATTTTAAGGACAGCCCTACCTCTAGGCAAATAAATGAATTGGGCTGAACACCGACCTCCACTATCTCTAAGCTGTGGGAAGACTGGGACCAAGCATCTCAGAAACCATTCCACATTCTTCGGAAGATGTGAAGACTGGAACCCTCAGGTCACTATCATACACTGGAAGCAGTTAATATCACGTCCATATGGAGTCAGTTCTGTGGCCAATCTGCTAAACAGCAGAGAAGCACATCAATCATCCTCCATGTTGGAACGGCCCTTAGTTTCCAAAGCACCTAATTCTCACGGCGACCCAGTTTCAAATAAACTACCTCCGCCGAGCGTCAGGGGTGGGACTGACCCTACGATTTCAGGTTCCCACCTCTTCCCACTCCCTTTTTCAATCGGTGGACAGCAAAGAGCACGAGCACCTTGTCACTGTAGTCAGAAGAAAATATTAGCGACTTTCCTCTACCCCACATCCTAGCAACTTTGAATTCTACCCCGAGCCGCGTTGTGAAACGCCGCCCTCCCCTCCAACCTTCTGTTCGATGAACAACTCCTCGCGTCGCTTCCTCTTCTCCTTCAGAAGCGTTTTATCCCTGGGAGAAAAGGCGACAAGTCAGTGCGGGCAGGGACGAGCGGGATGGGAAGGGGCGCTTCTCCCCGCCCGGCCGCGGGCTCCGAACCTGCGCACGGTCTCGCGAACTCGCCGCTCCTCTTCTTTCGCTTCCACCTGAGCGCTGGCGAAAGTCAGCTCCTCCGGAGCCTCGTCGTCAAGCTCATCGTCCCCTTCCTCGTCTTCCTCCAGCGGCTCGGCAGCCGCGCCGCTGCTCGGCTGCCCGAGCAACAGGCCGTGCTCCGCCTCCTCTTCCGAGGCGGGCTGGCCCTCGTCCACCATCGCCGACGCCGAAACCGGAGCGCGGGACGCGCGCGGCCTGAGCTGCACCATGACCCAAGCTGCGGCCGACCTCTGACCCGGAATCAGCACGCAAACGGAGCGTGACGTAAAAGGCAGGCGCCACGGGTTCTGTCGCCCTCTGCAGGTTCCGAGGCCCCACTGAGCTATGCAGAGGCGCATGCGCAGAGCGGGGACGGGCGTGGCCTGAGGAAAGCTGGGGGCCCTTCCCTTCCGCCCGGCTCCGGGGCTGCGCGCAGGAGGCCTCGCGGCTCCCTCCCCGCTCACGACTGCGAGAGCAGGTGGCCGTGCTTTCTAGGCAGGAAAGATACATCCTGCTGCCTCCTTGGCGGGGATGCCGGGAGCAGGGTTGGCTGGGTCCTCGCGCTCCTTGAGGTGGGCTCGCAGGTCCCGCCATCCGGTGACCACAAGCCCCAGTCGCCCTATCGCCGCCTTTTTTAGCTCCGAGATCCGCTTGGTCGATATTCGGCTTTCCGCACTCCCCACAGAAGTGCAGTTTCAAAAGGAAGAAGTGCGCTATAGCGGCAGGACCCCATGCCTTTCAGCCCTGTTGTCGCCGACGAGAAACAAGGTCGACAGACTCGGATTTAAATCGATCCTCTGCACCAAACGTGGGCGTGGCGACCTCGGCCGCCCTCTCACGGGCATCCCTGACCACCAGCCCTCGGCCACTGCCTGTTCTGTGTCCATCACTGACTCCTCGCCTTAACAGCTTGTTGTCTGACTCTCCCGTTAGAACGTGAGCTCACTGAGAGCGGGGACCCCCCTCCCCGGTTCCCTGCTGTAACCCCAGGACCTTGCACGGTGTCTGCCCATCCTACCGTCACTTAGTGACGCAGCCCCCGTACTGTGTATATTTATGCCCCCGCCCCCGCCCCAAGTATACTTATTTCATTTCCTAGCATACGTGGCCCTTCATGACCTTTGTGTTTTATCTTCTCTCACCCATTATACGATAGCAAATGATTCATCTTTCTCTGAACAAACCAAGCTATTTCATAATTACCTTGCATTTGGACATGCTCTAGGGATACACACTCTGACCTTGGAACTCCTATTTATACCTTCAAAAACTCCCACCCAGGCTGACTTCCTCTTAAAGACTTTCAAGCACCTTAAGATCGACCCCATCCCCACTCTGCTCATCTCTAATTGCATTCTCTGAATCTTGAACAAATTTCTGTAACTATAGCTTCCACGCTGTTTACCCGTTCATATGACAACTGTCCCAACCCAGTCTTTGTGAACTCCTTGAGGGACGGTCCATCTCTCTCTAAGCACTGTATTTCTAATGTCTGTCATATGGCAGGTTCAGTAAATATTGAATTGAATTGAATAATCCTACCTCACATAAATTGTGGAGTATTTTCAATTCGCTTTTCCTCTCCTCTGATTTGGAAGCAATTCCTAATTTAAAAACAAGACCAAAACACGAACAAAAATGACAAAACAGAAACAAAAACAGCTACTGGTACCAACAACCTAGTAGGAAGGGAGTTGCAAAGAACAGTTCTGGAATATCTGGATCTTGGTCAGATAGAAATTACGAATTAAAAATATAGTCCGACTCCCTGAAACAGTGTTCTGACTTCCATCACTGCTAACACCAGGGAACTGTATACAGTGCACTTTTGAGAAGCCCTACAACAAACCTACTAGAAGTGCATGATGGTATTTTATGTACAAAACCTGCATTATAGGTATTACAAGTCCCGTCAGTGTGCGTGCTTTGACCCACCCACGTAAAAGCATATGACGGGAGCCCTCAGGGTGCCTGGCTGATCTTTCAGACTCCCTGTGGGTTATGGGCACCCCTCTTGCCCATGCAAAGGATACTTGGGATTTATTAAAAGGCATGACTTGCAAATGCAGTACAAAGTTTTATGTCACAGCGTCTCGTCATCTACTTCTACAAACACCAAGGGTGTAATATTAAATGCAATTTTGTAAGGGGTGGGGATGATATGGCCCAGCTGCATAATCACCCAGGGAGCCCACCTGATCCAAGGGAGCTAGTTATGTACGACCTTCATGCGCTGTTTACTGAAGGCCGCTCCTCCGTCAGGCCTCTGATGCTTGCCTTGCCGGCAGCAGGCATCCCTGGGTGCTGCATTAGATGGTGGGACTTGAGGAGAGGGCTGTATTCTTCCTACTTTACGCAGAGGTAGTATGAGCATAAAACTTTCAAGTCCCACGGGAAAAACTCCCTTCAAACTTCAGCGTCGGGGGAAGCGTGTGTTGATAGTGAGAAATGTCCTTCTGTGTTTATAATATTGAGGAACGACCAACCATCACCTCTCCCTTTCCTCCTTGGCTGCTCGGAAGCCCAGTGCTAAATTTTAGGCAGCTGTGTTTGTCCTTGGAGTCCATATATTTGCATTATTCTTTTTTCTCATCCTGATTTTCTACCTTACTGCTAATTTCTCTTCCTTCCTTGCCTGAATTCTTGTTGTAAGCTATCCCCCTGGAACTGAGGTTAGGCAGCCAAACAAGATAAACATTGACAAGAGAAAGTCCCCAACAAAGATATCTCTTGGGGTAACACCTTTATACAGTCAATTACCTGCTGTAGAAAGGGATTTTATTTTCCACCAAACCTTGCACAAAAATCAGAAATACCAGGGTTTTACCCCTCTACCCAAATAGCAAAAAAAAAAAAATTACTTTTTTTAGACAATCTAATTACAAAGTTGTTTCCCTCCCGGTAACCAACCAAACACATCAGAGGTATCTTATGTTTAGTTCAAACCAGATAACGTGAATTGACTTGAGAAGTTCTGTGACTTCTCCTTCTAAACACGTTTACTACTATTTCCTCTAAGTCCCATCACTTATCAGCAGTTTGGATTCCAGAAGATACATTCAGACCTTTCAGTATTCAGCTCACCATCCACAAGACTGTTTCTCCTGTTGGTGGCCTGGTACTTACAGATGCACTGTGATTTCTTCCTTCCTCAGGGCAATTAAGAAACAGTTTCAGTTTCATGAGGCGCAAGGGCTTCAGGAAGCGTCGTCCCACATGGCCCCTGGAAATGAAACCTGAAATAGCAGGACGAACACAGCAGAGTTAGGAGCAAGATGAACATTCTGCTTCAGCAAGTCAACTTTCTTAGTTACAACCAGAGTAAAATTCACATTCTCACAAATGCGGTCTTATGTGTTTCTGTGCCCAGTTCTTTCATCTAGTTTCTGAAAACTCCAAATGCAGACACTTCACTATGGGTTGGCCCCTGTCACCAAGGGAATTTGGGAAAGCAATTGCTTAGAATTTAGGCGCTATAAATAAGGATTTTCTTTTAAGGAAGAAGGGGAGACATGGTTGTATTTTGTGATTGCTTTGCCAAACTCATAACTGACATATTGTAAGTTTTACAAAATCTTACTGACAGGTAATAAGGACAAGAAAAAAAGAGCCTCATGCACCATGTGGACCGTAAGGACTTTACCTGAGGCCACAGGCCTCTCCAGCCGTCCACTGGAACTCGCGACTAGCCCTGACTTGCAGTCAGAAAGTAGGAAAAAGAGAAACATCAAGAAAGAGGAGGGAGAGAAAAGGAGAAAAACCAACGACTTCTGCTTCCTTCAAGGGAAAACACTTAGGACAGGGGGAAAAAAATACCCAACTAATTCTAGTGTATCGTTAATAAGAAAATCAACTGAGCACAGTTAAAAATGAAAAAAGCATTTGGTCATATTACTTATTCTTGATACAACACAAATCATGAATGCCTTAGCCCTTGAATACTCTGTTCTCTGTGCCACGAACAGACATTCCCGACCAAATGGCCTCTCTGATCCTTCTACCACTGGCAGCATGTGGAACACTGGCCACTAGAAAGCTCCGCCCCAGCACAGTCCCTTGAGGACTTTCCGAGAAGCACAGCCAGGCGCGGAGAGCCTCAGCTTCCACATGTTCTTCCTTGTGCCCCTTTCCACATTCACCCTCCTCCCTATTTACCAAAGCAAGCTGCACCTCACCTCACCCATCCCAAATCTTACAATGGCGCCTTATCCCAGAACGTGAAAAGAAAGGGATGTCTGAAATATCGGTGTGGATCTGAGAAAACAAACGGTTTCTAAAGACCGGGTAACACATGCAAGCAGGGCCGTTTCATCCTTGCTTTCAGTAAAATTGAAAGAGGGTCTTATAGAATTGTCAATGAACAGATCACTAAACGTGATTCAAGATTACTATGGGTATTTCAGCATATAACTTGGAAGGAGGTCTAAAATCTGAGTAGCGATGCCATAATGAAATTCCTTTCACGCCCAGGGTTTATGTGGCCCAGGTTTCTCAGTACTTTCATCGATAAAAAACAAAAACTGGGACTTCCCTGGTGGCTCAGTGGATAAGACTCTGCGCTCCCAATTCATGGGGCCTGGGTTCGATCCCTCATCAGGGAACTAAATCCCACATGCATGCTGCAACTAAGGAGCCCACAAGCTGCAACTAAGGAGCCCGCCTGCCACAACTAAGGAGCCCATGTGCCACAACTAAGGAGCCCGCCTGCTGCAACTAAGGCCCAGTGCAACCAAATAAATATTTTTTACAAAAAGCAAAAACAAAGAATTACAATTGACATTGGACATTGAAAAGGTAAAATTTAGCTCAGCCAGTAAAAATCTTCCCTGCCATCCCTCAGACTGGAATTAGAGACACAGATACAGCCAGCTGCAAAGCTAGCAGGAAACACAATTTTTTTCCCCCACGACAAGCTGCACAGTATCATAACAACTCCCTTCTTTGAGCGACCACTGCTTTGTTACTCACTGAGTAGGAATTCTGTCCTCTAAAATCATACACTACCAGTATGACGGCAGTAAAGAATGAAATATCCTCTGTGTCTGGAGGACCTGAGCCACTTTGCCTCCGAGAAGCAGCCTTACTTCCAACCCAGGTGCAGAGCTCCAGGTAAGGGGTGTCTGGGACCAGGGTTCCAGATCTACCTTCAAGGAAACAGGACCTTGCGGCCACTTTGCAGCCAGAGAAGATCTGACCCCTCTCCACACCAACAGCCCTGCTAGTTGCTGAGTCTATCAAAAACTGCTTCATTTAAACTTTACCTGAACTCAACCCTCCTTCCAAACCCTATAATAACTCCATCTTTTCCTTTGTTTGGGGACATGCCCCACGGCTCCTCTGGGGTCTCGCTCACTGCAGTGGGTCAGGAAACCAGATCTTCTCAGAATACAGGTTTGTTTCCTGTGACCACAGGCCGACTGGGCTACAACAACATGAACTCTGTCTCCTTCTAACAATACGTAATACTCAGCCATGGATACCCGAACTAATTCAAAAAACTCATGCCCCATGCATCTATTAAGAGATGCGTTTCCCATAGTTTTACTTTTATGGAATTATTAATCAAAATGTATCATTTGTTGTTTTCAACAACTTACTACTATAAATTACAGCAGTGATAATTCCATCTACAAGAATTTTTCAATGGAACAATTTTTAAGTTTTAAAGAACTTGAAAATAGTTCAGTAACTCATATATTTTACAGCAGAATATAATAGGATAGTCAACAAAAGATTTTCAAGCATAAAAATACATTAATATAAATTTCTACGGTAGAAGTAGGATGGGAATACCAGTTCAAAGAGAAAAAGAAAAAATGTGAAGGTTCTCATTGTTAAAAAGGGCTTGTATATTTATTCTGTAAATGGATGATGTGGGTATCAAGTAGTTGTGACATTTGTATTTGACTGGATACATTTAAAGGGCAGTTTAGGATAATGGCAGTTTTATTTTTAAATGTCGGTATTTTATTTCCAGTAATTCGGAATCACATCTTTTTCAATGATTTTGATAAATTTTAGATGTCAAGTTTAAACATGTAAACGGGGGGGCTTCCCTGGTGGCGCAGTGGTTGAGAGTCCACCTGCCGATGCAGGGGACACGGGTTCGTGCCCCGGTCTGGGAAAAACCCACATGCCGTGGAGCGGCTGGGCCTGTGAGCCATGGCCGCTGAGGCTGCGCGTCCGGAGCCTGTGCTCCACAGCGGGAGAGGCCACGGCAGTGAGAGGCCCACGTGCCGCAAAAAAAAAAAAAAAAAAAAAGTGTAAACGCGGTACAAGAACAAAGGTGTTTGAAGACCCCTGTTCTACCAGCCCGGTGCCTTTCCCCTCATCCCTCCCATTGTAGGATAACCAAGACCACTGTGTTTCGCCCAGAATATGTTCATGCCACTTTTATTGGTTAATGTAATGATCCAATTTAATTAAAAATTTAATTAATGCAAAAATATAGCTATTAAAAGAGGATTATTTCTAGGAAAATTAGCTGAATGCTTTGGAAAGACATAACATGTTATTAAAAACAATTCTGTCAAATTAGATGAAGGTGGACAAGATGAGGGGAAAATGCTTCAAAGTTTTTTTGTATGTTCTTTCTCCACTTAAAAAAAGAAAAAACAGGGAATTCCCTGGTGGTCCAGTGGTTAGGACGCTGTGCTTTCACTGCCGAGGGCGTGGGTTCAACCCCTGGTGGGGGAACTAAGTTCCTGCAAGCTTCGCAGCGTGGCCCCCCCAAAACACAAATAAACAGAAAAATATCTAAACCAGGAGTTGTATTCCAGTGTTTTCCAAGATTTCCTGATGATAAGAATCACCTAGGTCACTCGTTAAATATACAAATAAACAGCCCGCTTGCCCTGGATATTCTGACTCAGGAAGTCCAGACCGGGGCCTTGGGATGTGATTTTCTTGGTAATCTGTTTTGTTTTATAAAATAAAGGCTCAGGTGATTTTTCTCTTCAGGGAAATTTGGGGAACACCAGGAGGATTATGAATATGATTTATGCAAGAAAGGTGAGCTCCAGTCAGTAGATTCCCACTAAAGAAAAGGCCTTTGGCTCCATCAGGAAAAAAAAAGGCAAATGAATGCACATTTATGCTTTAAATGAAAATGAAATACTTATGTGTCCTTTTTTATTATATTCTTGCTTTAAGTGACTTTTTTGGTTAACAGACCACAGGGCCCCTTTGCATGGACTAACGGGGCACCTACCCCCTACCCTGATAATCCAGCCTGGGAGAGCACGGGCCTTCCCTATCAAATGTGATCAACTGTAAATTAAAAGAACTGACCTCTTTATACTCTTGAGGAGTAAATACATAAATAAGACAAGCGATAAAACCATCTTCTAGCTAAGAATTCCTGAGACTTCTCAACTCCACTTGCAGTGAGCTTCCTCTGGGGGCACTTGCCCAAGCACACAGGTCACTTCCTCACCGTACTGACCCCTCTACCTCTCCTGGAGCGCCTCCCCGCTCCTTCCTCTCCAAGCATGCTGGCCTCCCTGCTGCCCCTCAAACCGCCCAGGCTTGCTTTCCCCTTGGGGCCTTTGCTCCAGCTGGTCCCGGCATCTGGAAAGCTCTTAGCCCAGACACCTCTTTAGCTAACTCCTTCCCCTCCTCCAAGTCGGCTCAGGCCTCTTCTCAGTGAGGCTCCCCCCACCCACCCACTGAGTCCTGTGACTCACCTGCTCCCCCCAGCTCTACTTTTGCTTTTCCCACGGCCTAATCCCCACTTCTCATAGGCCACAGAATCTGCGCATTTATTATCCCTATTGTGTACTATTTGCCTCCACCGCTAGAATGCCATCTTCACATGGTAGGCTTTGTGTATCGTTTACTAATATATCCTATCCTAAGCACCCAGAGCAGTGCCTAGTACATAGTAGGTGCTAAATAAACAATTATGGGCTTTGACTAAATTCCAAAGTTTAGAGAAATGCAAAGATGAACAACAGGTGGTCGCAGGGCGTGGAGGCCCCAAGGGTGCTTGGAAAGCCCTGCACACCAGTGTCTCGGGAGCACAAATCCCACTTCTGCCTCAACAAATGCATGCAGACCCTTACTTGCCAAGGACCTCTGGGAAAGAGTAACAGCTTGAAGCCTAAATCTGAAAATGCCTAGTGTAACCGTTTTTCAGAAATCATCTAAGACAACCATCTGGGACAGGGGAAAAAAAAAAACAAAAAACTGGAACTAATTAAATTAACACCTTGAAAATATTAATACATTTCAGTGGGAGGTAAATTCTACACGACTTAGTCTCTAAATTAGAATCGGGGCAAAGAATCCAAACAACTTGTACAAGGTCGAAGGAGTCTTGTGAGATCCAAGTTTAAAACAGGCAGCATTCCCACCATCTATTTAGATAACGAAGAAAATCAGGTTAAAAGGAGATATCATTCCAATTTTCATTCTTCTTATTAACCTAGAGCAGGGGTTGGCAATTTGCTTTCTGTAAAGAGCCAGAGAGTAAATATTTTCATCTTTGCAGGCCTGACAGTCTCTGCTGCAACTCCTCACTTCCGCTGTTTAAGTTCAACAGCAGCCACAGACAATACAGGAACATGTGGCGGTGGCTAGGTTCCAATAAAACTTTATTTACAAAAAACATGGTGGGTGCATTTGGCCTACAGGCAGTAGTTTGCTGACCCCTTGACCTAACTAAAGTTCAGCCAACATCTGTTACACATAAGATGTGAGAAATTTCTGCTTTTGTTGAGCTGCGTGTTTAAACAAGCCTCTTAACCACTCTGGGCTTGGTTCCCCATTTGAAAAGCTGAGTAGGATGAGGTGATTATCACCCATGTCTCTTCTAAATGTCAGCTTTGGTGATGCCTAGACAAAAGCATTGCTGGCTTCCCTGGTCAGTTATACTCATCTGGGAAAATTCCCAGACTCCGTGGTACAGAGAGTCTCGGCTCCCAAAGAAGCCCACAAGCATCTGTTCTCGTGGTTCTTGCGGTCGGTGCTGTCAAAATCCGATCAAAGTCTCTGACTAGCAAGTAGCCTGTTTGTCTAAACAGAGACACGGCAGGTTTTCAGGATGTGACGCTGAAGAATTCTGGTTGAAGAAGAGTAGCAGCTGCAGCAGGTCTGCGGCTTGAGGAGGCCCAACTTATGAAGTGATATCATTAGTACATGCCAAGAATCTCTTCTTAACTTGCATGGAAAACCACCAAGTTCCATTTCCTTTCACGTGAAGACCAACACGACGGATGCCCAGTCCTTGCTGGTCAGTCCTGAGCGTGAAAGGCAGAGGCCAACTCTTATCTTGGGTTGTGGAAACACATGAGTTTTATTTTCTTTTTCCCTATCTGCATTTTACTTTTCTACAATGACATGTACTTTTCTGTACACTTATTAGAGATGAGCTGGAGATCAAGTGACTGAAAATAAGCCACATTAGAAGAAAAATAGAATTTGGGGATGAACCGCATTTCCTGCTTCAGAAAATTTACCCTGTCCCCACCTGGGAGCGTTCTGATGCTCTTCCAAGCAGACAAGAGGCTTGGGTTACCTGGCTGCGATGTTACTTTTGATGAGGCTAAGTGGCCCAGGTGCTACACGTAAGTGCCACAATGTACCAATATTTTAGTGGATAAGTTAGAAGACAATAACTTTTTTAATAGAACAACTTAATTGAGATGTAATTCACATACAATCCACTCATTTAAAAGGTATAATTTAACAGGTTTTTTAGTATATTCACAGAACTGTACAACCATCACCACAAGCAACTTTAGAACATTTTCATCATCCCAAAGTAAACCTGTACCCATCAGCAGTTAGTTACTCCCCATTCCTCCCTACCCCAACCCTAGACAACCACTAATCTACCTTCCGTCTCTGTTGATTTGCCTATTCCGGATATTTCGTACAAAACAGAACCATACAATATTTGATCTTGTGTGCCTGGCTTCTTTCACTAAATATAATGTTTTCAAGCGTCATCCATGTTGTAGCATGTATCAGTACTTCATTCTTTGTATGGCTGAATAACGTTCCACTGTATAGATAACAAGTTTTGTTTATCCATTCATCAGTTAAAGGACATGTGGGTTGTTTCCATTTTTTATTATGATCCATGCTACTATAAACATTCATGTACACATTTTTGTGTAGACATATATCTTCATTTCTCTTGACTACATACCTAGGAGTAGAATTGCCGGGTTATATGTCAACTGTGTATATAATCTTTTGAGGAACCACCATACTGTTTTCCAAAGCAGCTGAATCATTTTACATTCCCACCAGCGATGTATGAGGGGTCCAGTTTCTTCACCAACACTTGTGATTCTCCATTTTTTAAATTATAGCCATGCTAGTGGTTAAGTGGTATCTGGTTATGGTTTTAATTTGCATTTCCCTAGTGATTCATGATGCTCAGCATCTTTTCAATGTGCCTATTGACCATGTATATATATATCTGGAGAAGTGTCTACTCAAATCTTTGGCCCACTTTTTAATTGGGTTATTCGTCTTTTCATTATTGAGTTGTGAGAGTTCTTTATATATTCTGGATGCCAGTTCCTTTAAAATATTAGACTTGCCAATATTTTCTCCCACTCTGTGGATTGTCTTTTTCATTTTAGTGGTGGTGTCCATTGAAGCACAGAAGCTTTAACTTTGATGAAGTTCAATTTATCCATTTTTCTTATGCTACTTGTGCTTTTGATGTCATATCGAGGAGGCTTTGACTAACTTAAGGTCACAAAGATTTACTCCTATATTTTAAGAAATTTATAGTTTTAGCTCTTACATTTAGGTCTGTGATCCACTTTTGTTTATGGTGTAATTAAGGGGTCCAATTTCATTCTTTTGCAGGTGGCTATCCAGCTGTTCCAGCACCATTTGTTAAAAAGATTCTTCTTTCCCTTTCTGATTTGTTTTCATACCCTTTTCAAAAATCAATTAACTATAAACATGAGGTTTATTTTCTGGACTCTCTTCAGCTGTGTCCTTCCACATACTTAGGTCTTCTGTATTTCTTCCAGCAGCATTCTGTCATTTTCAGAGTATAAGTTTCACACAGAAGGCAATGTTTTAAAAGGTGCCTTCCTGGGGCTTCCCTGGTGGCGCAGTGGTTGGGAGTCCACCTGCCATTTCAGCGGACACGGGTTCGAGCCCTGGTCCAGGAGGATCCCACATGCTGCAGAGTGGCTAGGCCGTGTGCCACGGCTGCTGAGCCCGCGCTCTGGAGCCCGTGAGCCACAACTGCTGAGCCCGCGTGCCACAGCTGCTGAAGCCTGTGTGCCTGGAGCCTGTGCTCCGCAACGGCAGAGGCCACCGCAATGAGAAGCCCGTCGACACAATTAGAGAAAGACTGCCTGCAACAACGAAGACCCAACACAGCCAAAAATAAATAAAATAAATAAATAAATTTAAAAGGTACCTTCCTAATTCCCACCTCTTATACACAAATGAAGAACTATGGTCTAAGCACATAGGCTGTAGCTGACTAAAAAGACCTGGAGAAGTCTAGGAAGAAAGTCAGCTCACTCACCTGAAGAGGATTATATCTGAGTGTTTCCACACTGTCTGTGACACGATTTTATCCCAATGAAAAAGAGCATTGGTTCTCATCCTGGCTGCACATTAGAATCACCTAGAAAGCTTATAAAAGTCATGGGGCTCAGGCTACACCTCACACCAATTACACCAGAATCTCCTGGGTCATCAGATTTTTAAAACCTGAGGTAAAAACCACTGACTAAAGTAGTGACAAGAAGCTCCAGTGAAGTTTTCTTTTATTTATTCATATTTATTTATTAGTTTACAGTCTACCTTATTCTGGAAAGGAATTAAACAGACTGACAAGAATATATAAAATACATTAAAAATGAAGAGAGAAAAGCAGGGGTGAAAAAAAGCAAAACAAAGGTGAAGACATAAGATGGAACCTAGAATGGGACTACAAATGAATACTGTGATAATCTACACTTTGCACACAAATTTGGGAAACAGGATCAGTATCACAATATGGCCACAAGTACAAATATTCTTGACAGTAAGACCAAAGAGGAATTTGCCCAGGGAGCCCCACGGTGAGAAGAGTGGGTGATGCAGTTCCGCATGGGTATCTCCTGGGCTTACGTGCTAAGTCTTCGGCTGACCTACCTCTAAATGCCATTACTAAATCTAGCTTAAAAATACGAATAAAAGTAAAGTCTGAAGAATCAAGGAAGAACTTCCAAAATGTGAAAAACAAAAGCCCTATGGCAAACTTCCCGTGAAAAGACACAGCTACCTTCATCTAGGTTTAATACTTTGTTTTCTTCCATCAAAGCAACTATAGGCCAAATAACAAAACACAAACTCCGTGTTTTTCAATTAGAATAGTAGTAAAATCTGCTTGGATAAGCACGTCCAAACATGCTCAACAGCGTGCATTCCCACCTTGGTGATCCCGGTACCTGAATCTGTTCGCTGCAGGGGTGGCTTCTATGTTAAATTCGGCCACTGGTACCCCCCGGGCAGACACCTCGGGGGCAAACATGGCAGCGGGGTAGACCACCGAGGAAGTTCCCACCTACAGAGCAAACAAACGGAAACGGACAAATGACCACACCGTGGAGAGGAAACAGCTTTTCAGAAAACCTACCAGAAACCTGGGCCAGTTTGTGGTGGCGGGTGTGAGGACAGCTAAGCTGTATGGGATAAGTGGAGAGCGTCTGAGGGACAAACAGGGAGGCAGGAGGCGCCCCTCTGGCTGACCCCTAGAATTCGGGAAGGACACGCTATACGAAGACAAGAGCTGCACACACGGAGAGAATGGCAAAGAAATGACTCGATCGTCACCCAAAGGGGGTTAGTTTTAGTTTTGCTTCTGCTCTTTGAAGAGATGCAAATAATCCATGTTCCTTTTAAGTTAGAAAATACAAAGAGAAAACACATACATGTCATTCATAATCCTACTTCTACCAAGATTATCACTGTTCACATTTTGATGTATATTCTTTCAAGTTTTTCTCTATGAATATATATTTATAAACATTCTTTACAAGAGCAGGGAGACCAGACCAAGTTTTACAAGCCAGCTTTCCTTGCTTAACCGTCTATCAAGCACATTGATACTAGATTCAACAGTGGGACGCACTCAAGAAATACCGGCTGAATGAACACGCACCCGTGAGAGGCCGCTTCTGCTTTTAGAGATGTGTTAGGAGAATTTGAAATGTGCATGCTCTTTGTCCCATTAATTCCACTTCCAGGAAATCTGCCCTCAGGAAATAACTTGAAAAGCCTGCTAAGAGTTACATCTAAGGACATTCATCATAGCATTGTTTTAAAATATCAAAATCTGAAACAGCCTAAGTGTCCAACAGTGGAGGACTGGTTAACTATGTCCTTTTACATCCATACAAAGGAACACCACGCAGCCTGTTAAAAGATGATGTGGATTTGGACGTACGGACATGAAATAGGCTAAGTGAACTGCTATGTGAATAAAGCAGCTTCCAAGCAGAACATACAGTATGAACCCACTTTTGAATTTGAATATGTCTACATCTGCATAAGCAAAGGTCTAGACCAGGGTGGGTAAACTCTGTGTAAAGGGCCAGATAGTAAATTTTTTAGGCTTTGCAGGCCATGCAGTCTCTGTCACAAATACTCAACTCTGCTATTACAGTGTGACAGCAGCCATAGGCAATACATAGAAGAAAGGGTATGGCTATGCTCCAATACAACTTTGTTCACAAGACAATGTACATCATAGTTTGCTCCCCTCTGGTCTAGAAGAGATCACACCAAAATGCTAACAGTGACTATTTTTGGATTGTGGAATTATTGGTGATCTCTAATTTCTTCTTTATAATTTTATACTTTTTTGTATTTTCTCAAATTTAATAACGAGCATGTGTTACTTTCAAAATCAGAACCAATAACATGCTCTTTTCATTATTTCTCTTCTGGGGGGAAAGGCTTTGAGAAGCCCCAGACATGGTCTTCCATAGTTTCATATTTTGAGATCGTATCTTATTCACCATTTCTTAGTTTTTCTGTAGGGCACCCCCCGACTCTCAACACACCCTTAAGAAAAGGAAGGAAGGGAGGGCGGAGCGGGAGAGAGGGAAAAGGAGGGGAAGAGGGAGGAAGGAAAAGAGGGGGAGGGAGGGAGGAAGCAACCCCCACCCCCACCCCCCCCGCCTGGTGTTTCAGAGCATCCCGAGGATCAGGGACGGGCATGACCTACCACGAGACACAAGTCACAGAGGGCCAGCTCCCTGCCAGCCTCCTCCAGGATGGCAGGGTCCAGGTTTTCTCCAAACCACACCACATGAGGTCGCAGCAGGCCCCCGCATGCTGCCTCTTCACACCTGGAAGAGTGTCATCCTTAAGCCAACCCCAAGACCTGCTCTCAGGAAGGTCTGCCCAAGTGGATCGGGGATAGCCAGGAGCTGCACCAGGGCCAGTCTGTCCAGGTAGGTCACTCTGAGCCTTCCTATCCCCCATCCCTTCCCTCCAGCCCACATGAGCTTGTCCTGAAGGTGTAGTTCTACCTGCCCTTATGAAGTTTCTATTCTGTCTGGATGCACTGGGTTGATGTGCTGGTGGAGGCGTTTCAGCCAGGCTCGCTCTTCTCCTTCTAAACAGCTGTCTCTTCCCCAGCCGCTTCCCCACGGTCATGGGCACGGTCGTGCTCACGGTCAGCCAGGCCCAGGAGGAATGTACTGGGCTGAGGTTTGCCTCTAACACGTCAACTGCTTGCTAATTTCATCAGTGACCTCCTTCTTTCTTCTCTCAGATTCACCTCTCTCTTGCCCCGTCTCTAGCCAAGTTCTCCAGCGTCAATTCCTAAAAATCTCTCATCTTTCACTCGCTACTATCCCAGGTCATCTTATAATTTACCTTCTAAAATAATCTCCCCCAAACACCATTTTCATCATATTAATCTCCTAATCAAGATTCTTTTAGATCAAAACTTCAAAATTTAGTAATGAAAACATTCTTTTAGAGCAAAACTTTGAATTTAGTAATGGAAACCCTTATTAAGAAAAATAAAAAAGGTGAAGTCAACCAGGGAAATACTAACATAATCGCTCTTTAGAGAGTAACAGTGTACTTTCACGTATTCAGTGCTCTGATTAGTCCTGCAGTAAAGGAAACATACTTTAACTTCGTTCAATCTGTGTTTCCGTATTTATTTGAGCACATGACATCTTTTTTCCAAGTAATGCCTATAACTTCACATGGATCTAGTGCTGTAAGAAACACTTTTGGAAGCGCTATTTTAATGTCTAGTTTTGAAAAACTGACATACAAGTTTTTTGTTGTTGTTACTCTACCAAAATTCTATTTGGCCCTACAACTTCACCTTTGCAAGACCTCTTTCTGCCTCCGTGACCCTGGATTGATAACTCTGAAGATTAGGAGGAGGACAGAGAGGGTAGCAGCCGAGGCTTATGGACCAGTTAGTCCCGGGACGCCAGCCTCTACGCTTCGTATACACTGGTAAGTGTCTACCACATAACAGCTGCTGAAACTTTCAGACCTGAAATGATCCCGCCATAACACACAGGAGAAAGGGACGGGACAGAAGCACTTCTCTTAAGCCTGGCTTGGTTCATCTTTTGTCCTTTCGCCCTTGGCCTCATAGATCAGGGCTGGTTTCGGCATTTGCACATTTAAGAGGCATCTCACCAAATGAACTTGGATTTTGACTCCTAATTTTCTTTTTTTTTGCAATCTGGAACACCAAATACAGATCAAAGATTTTTACCCACCGGGGAAGTTTCTCCACTGGGATTCTGGCATCTTGAGTTTCAGGTTCTGGAGCCCTGAAGTAAATAGTATCAGAAAAGAAAGAACGTCACTGGTGTAATCGAAGAACAATGAAATAAGATAACCCAATGAAACTGTCTCTTTGCCTGGCAGTATATGGTACAAAACTCCTAATGAATACACACTGACTTAGAAGGGTACTAGGAGGATGGACACCAAACAGTTGATTACCACTGGTTCTACCTCAGGAGAGGGAATTTGTATGTGGGAAGCGGGTGGAGTACCTGTTGTGCTAAGGAGAGTTTCATGATTTGCATGGTATATGTCATCCTAGTTGGAATAATCTGCAATGACATTATGTTCATAAGTTACATGGATAATTTATACTGATTTAAAATAGCCAGGTAGAATTTTTCTCAATATTCTGAGTCTACTCTTAATTTCTTGCCCTAATTATAATAATAGTAAATGTTCATCATAGAAATGTTGGAAAATTCAGAAAGATATATATAAAGAAGAAATCAAAATTGTCCATAATCTTACCACTCCTTTTTGTTGTATTTTCTTCTGGACTTTTATCTATATAAAGATACATCAACATGGTGTGTTTGTGTGTGTGTGTGTGTGTGTGTGTGTGTGTGTGTGTGTGTGTTTAAATACAAAGTTGGGATCATACTGTATAAAGTTAGATTCCGTTGTTTTCACTTAACATTGTAAATTGTGAGCAAAATACTTCTTTTATCATATAGCTGTACTGTACCCAGTTTTATTTCGCATAAATATCCATGGGCATCTTAGATGAATGTTCGATTTCTTCACATTTATATTCAACTTAGACAAAACGACACACGTCTATTCTGTAGTGCAGTATAATTACCCTTTTCCTGATAAAGCTGGACAAATTGGACTCTTGTAATTCTCAGCCACAACTCCACAAGAGGTACATCGAGTTTTAAATAAGCTACCTGAAAAACAAAAGTTAAACAAGACTGGAATTTAGTATAGTCAGGTGCAATTGTCTCCACGTCTAAAAGGGTACGAAATAATTTTGTTTTTATACATCATTTTAACAAATGGGCCTACCCCAGGCATCACAGGGAACATAATAAAGGCATGCAGTACTACTGAACAAGCCAGAACATCTGCCCCCCTGGACTGCATAACCTGTAGGAGAGAGAGGCGGATGAAATAACTCACTGCGTGACTAAGCAGCTCTCTGATTGCCCTGATGTTCGGGTGGAACTGAAGTAGTCAGTTGGGCAGAAGAAGCCAATCTAACCCTAAGGGCAGGATTTACTAAGTGTATGACTGATAAAGGCTCAATAGCTTGGGATGTGCTTTACAGAATCTTAATTTTGACTTAATAAAGCTTGAATCTTTTCTACAAAAGCAGCTCAATAAATAATCAACTAACAAACGAAGAAAATAACTGTTAAAACTAGCAATGACTTATTGAGCTTAACCAATAAAAGGTGATCTCAGTTCACTAAATAGTCACCCCATGCCCAGTGCTGAGCACGTCACACTGCGGTGGACACACACTGTTCCATTCTGGCCAGGACTCCTTCTTTGGGGAGCCACCTCTCCTCTATCCCATGCCAAGCTGACGGAGCTGTCAGTCACATCCCCAGATACAAGCTTGGGCACGAGTTCCAGACTGGTCCCATCGTAGCAGCCTATCCTTCTAGCAGCAGTGTTTGGTCAAAAGGGAGGTATGTGATCCAAGCAAGGCCATCCAGAGACTTATTTTCTGAGGAGACAGCTAAACTAGAGGGAGCCTGGAGCCCCACTGGGTCACTGCTTCTGGAAATCCCACAATTTGAAATGCGTTTCTTGGGATTGAACTTTTGTAGACTATTAAATGCCCTTGGGAAGAAATTCCTGCATGCCCAGTTATGCTCTTGTATGAATGAACTGATTAGATTTTCGGTGAGAGCAAAAAGGGGAGAGCATTAAGAAGAGGAAAGAGGAGGGTGTCATTAAGCGCAGAGAAGGGAAACCAGAGGGACCCACGACCAGCTCCGCGGTGTCACAGACCTGGTGGGCTCACTGCAGCAAAGGTCACTGAGCTGGAAGCTCCCTAAAGGCTCGAGGGCTGAGCAGAAGCACAGCCTCAGCGGACACTGCTGATCAGGGACACAGGGAGAGTAAATAGTTCCCCAGGGGATGCCAGCCCTCTCCGGAGCTAGATCCTGCTGGAGCCACAGCGGTTCAAGGGCCCAAGGCTCCTGCTTCCCTCAGCCCAGCTTGGGGGGCTGTCTGGGAACATAAGGCCCCTCAACAGGACACCCAGGGAGGGGAGAGCACACAGCAGAGTGGGTGGGGCTTCTCCAGGTAGGGTGGTCCACATTCCAGACACCTGGGGTCTTGTTAAGATGCAGTGGGCCCAACTGGGACATGGCAGCACCTGTGTTTTCAGGTCTGGTTCCCCCCTCCCACGGAAGACTGAGGGTCCCTCACCATGGATTTCCAGAAGGTTCTTGGTGCCAGCCTTGCGGTGCAGCTCGTCGATGTTCTGCGTGATGACCGTGACCCGTCGGCCCTGCCTGCCCAGCCGGGCCTCACACTCAGCGATGGCCAGATGACCGGCGTTGGGCTCCTTGCTCTGCACCACCTCCCGCCGGTAGTGGTAGAACTCCCACACCTGGGATGGGTTTCGGGCAAAGGCCTGAGGGGTGGCCAGGTCCTGGGGGGCAGAAAGGAGGCAGGGGTCAGGGAGGGAAAGAAGCTCTGATGCTCCAGAAGCTGGGCGGTAGGGCTGCTGCAGCCAGCGGGACACTCCCAGGCCTCCTTTGTTCTAAGCAGAGAGGCAGGCCGCTTTGGGAGGTGCCCTCAGGGACACATCTGTGTAGGTACATGTGGCGTGGCAGCCGCAGGGCGGGACCTGGGGCTCACGAGGGAGGGACCTTGGAGAAATCGGTTTAACTTCCCCAGTGATGACGCAGGGAGACTGCAACCTGTCTCATCTTCCACTCGAGTAAGTTACAACTGTGAAGTCGAGTAACAGGAGGGAAGGTAATTTAGTCTGGAATCCAGTTTTCCATGGAGCTCCACATTACAGGATGCCAAGCTCATTTATCAAGAAAAGTAAAATGCAAAATGCCCAACTGAGGTATAATGGCCATAGTTGAAAAACTCGGTTTTTATAACTATAATGATAGGTACATACACACACACACACACACACACACACACAACTACACATATAAAAAATAGTATATACATTATAGTAACAGGATATATATAAAATACCTATTTTTTAAAGTGCGATTCCTCTTCTAGGAGAGGCAACTCTCATCGACGGTGGAAGAGCAGTGTGGTCCGTAGCTGTCTGGGGCTGGAAGCTCGGGGGAGGGGAACCCTTGGCAATGACTGAAATGTTCCATAAATGGATTGAGGCGGGGTTGGGATTATGCATTGTATTTTACTATAAAGGTCACCCTTCGACCTGGTGGTAAAGTCAGCCTGCATCGGGGAAGTGGATCGTCTGTGCCATCAACCCTGTACCTCCCTCCTTCCTGTCCCCACTTAGACCTCCGGTGGCCCGAAGCGGTCACAGGCAGCGCATGAGGTGGAGTCAAACAGTCAACTGACTTCTTTGGGTCCCCACAGACCCTGAGCTGCTTTGACAGCACCGACCACCCCTCTGGAAGCCCCTCCTGATGCCCACTAAGCACCCCCGTCCACCCCCACCCCGCCCTGCTTCTCAGACCCAGGGACTGCCCTCCGCAGCTGCTCCTTCTTGTGGAACCCTAAGGGCCCTCTGCTCTCCTTTCTCCCCTCCCTCACCTTTAAGGTGATGATCCCCAGACTCGCCCGGAGGGCAGCAGAGAGGTGACAAGACATCCTAAACGTGTGCCAGCCTGAGACATTTAATCGGGGAAGGAAGGGCACATTCATTAACCCTTCCCTCGGTAAGAAACTACCTATGAAATCTGGAAGTCATGCATTGAAGTAATTACTCATGATTGCCTTCTTTCGACCAACAGAAATCTACTAAGCGTCTACATGTGCCAGAGTTCTGGGAGCTGGGGACAGAGCGATGAAGAAAACAGGCACATTTCCCTGCCCTCCAAAACTAGGGATTTCCTGGGCCAGGGGGAGGGGAGGAGACTGCCTACAGGGGCCTTGAGGGAATATTCTGGGGCACAGAAATGTTCCACACGGTGATCCTGGTGGTGGCTGCACCACTGTGTACATTTATTAAAACTCACTGAACTGTACACTTATATTGGCGAAGTTTATTGCATGTATGGGGTTGGCCAACAAGTTTGGGTTTTTCCCAATGTATTATACCTCAATAAAAACTGAATTAAAAAAACTGCATGCCCCCAGAGAACTTACATCCTAATGACCTTCATGTAAAGTTTTGAGCATCAAGGCCTAAGCCTTTAACAATTCAACACTGTTTTTCACATGAAAAGTTCAGAGAAACTTTTTAAAGATGTGTAATTCTTAATTTCAACATCGATAGAAAAGTAATGAATTATGCTAACCAAAGTTTTCTGGTTCCACTTTAGTTACTGGAAGAAACCCAATTGTTATCTGAATAAGTGCAGTCAATACATGCCTACATGCCTAGAAAGAAAGGCAAGAGGCTGCTTTGCTTAAATCTGAGATCTTAATCATGCGGACCGTGTGTCGATGCCAAAACAAACACGACAAAAGGGTCATGGTAAATTTCAAAACTTTTCCCTCTGGGTGTCAGGAGTAGGTAGAGGTTCCGAGTCAAACACTATTACGGCTTCATGCAGAAGAGCCTCTCGCTGTTGTGGAGACATGACTAACCTGAGCTTTCCATCTTCTCCAATAACCTCCCGCTCCTCTGAAAGTCGGTACCCCACTCTCAGCACTGACGCCAGCCCCTGAAATGATGACTATGTGCTTGGCTTTTGCAAAACACTTCCGGAAGTCAGCCATACCTAAAGAGGGAATCAAATCTTGGTCAATTCAGTGTACCATTTGGACATTTACATCCCAAATCAACTGCCTGTATTTTGAAACTTGACCTTGCGTGAAATTATACTTTAAGATGAGCAAATGAAAATCATTCTCGTACCATGAAGATGCCCCCAGGCACCTGATGTGTGCGTGTTCAACGTCTTAAGAAAGAGATAGGGGCTTGGGGCGCACAGCACTGGCCCTGCATCCCACCCCATCTCCCGCAAGCGAGATCTTATGTGAATGACTGACCCTCTGCTATCCTGGGTTTCCTTGGCTGTTTCACGTGCACAATAGTGCCTTCCATAAAGGGTGGCTACTATGAGGATTAAAAAACGCTAATGGGGGCTTCCCTGGTGGCGCAGTGGTTGAGAGTCTGCCTGCCGATGCAGGGGACACGGGTTCGTGCCCCGGTCCGGGAAGATCCCACATGCCGCAGAGCGGCTGGGCCCGTGAGCCATGGCCGCTGAGCCTGCGCGTCCAGAGCCTGTGCTCCGCAGCGGGAGAGGCCACAGCAGTGAGAGGCCCGCGTACTGCAAAATAAATAAATAAATAAATAATTTTAAAAATTAAAAAAAAACGCTAATGGACGGGGATGCACCTTCCTTCTTAAAAGTAAAAACAAGCTTGTGTGTGTGTGAGGACTGACCTCAGGCCCACTGGGCCCCAAAGCATTCCCTTCCTTTCCAAATTCACTTCCCTTTGAGGATCTTGCTAATCCCAGCTTCGCTTGGCATCACCACCGGGGTGAAGGTGAGGGCCCCTCCTCTGTGAATAAATGCTCTGTCCCAATCTGGACCCATGACCTTCTCCTTTACAGCTCGAGTAAGAGCTGGTCTTTACAACAAGACGACCCCAGAGACTTGGGGTAACGGAAGGGAACTGAACACAGAGAATAACACGACAGCAGGGAGTCGTGGTCACAGCCTGTGGCTTGCACTCCAGGATCCAAGGCCTAACCCTGCACCTCCGGGCATCCTCCCGCCTGACCTCAGACCAACAGGGGCAGCAGCCCTCCTGCCGTGAGGGCTCACAGTGCCCAGGTGCTGCACCAAGCACTCGATGAGCATCACCGCCAAAGGTGGACTTTGGTCCTGAAGCGAAATGTCATCCATCGCCAGGCTTGGAACTGCTGTTGTTTCTCCGGGCGGCAGAGATGAGGCCGAGAGCAACGCCCTCTCTCCCAGGCGCCGCGGCTCTGCGGCCCTCGTGCCTGGGGTGAGGAAACGCCACGGCCCCGCAGGCCAGGCCTAAGCAGTGCAGCAGAGCCGAGCATAAGCTGCGGGGGAAGAGACTTCCTCCAGTGCCCCTACCCGGAGAAGCGAGTGTGGACCAGCGTGGCCTGCGGCTGGCCTGAGCCACGAGGGCAGGGTCTGCCGAGCACAGGTATCTTCCAGGAGTGGCCAATCTGCGCTCAACCTGCAGTGGAAGCAGGTTCCTTGGCGGATGGAGCAGGCTCTCTGGTCTCCCTCGGGAGGAATGGCAACCGAGGCTTATCAACCCTCGGACTGATACAGCACCCCTGAGACATGGAACAGGCGAAGGAGGAAGGGAAGGAAGACAGTGGGATGGGGGCTCACAGACAACAAAGTGAACGTTAAAGGGAAGGCGACGTCATTGCGCACCCCAAGCTGGTGACGTGTATCTTACCAGTTTCTCATACTTGATGGCTCCTCCAGGCAGGGGGGGGACCTCCTCCCCCTTGTAAGCTCAGAGCTGCCTCTACGGCTAGCCCAGGACAGAGAATCTCAAAAGAGGCTCCAAATCTCTCCTCCCCTTCCCTTCCTCCCTGACGACTGGCAAGAATAAACAAAGAATAAAAGCAGAGCCTCAGAAACAGAAGATGCAGAGGCTCCGGCCCCCTCTCCCGCTCGGTCCTGGAGCTCTGGGACCATGCTTTCAGCAGCACAAGCTCAAAGGGATGAAGACGGTCTAGGCACACTGTGCCCCTGGGTGTAACCAGCCCGGCGGCCTGCCAACCGCACTAGCCCTCTGCCTGAATTCGCACCCCTTTCAGAGACAGACCAGTGTGAAAAACAGGGCCCACGAAAGCTGTCCAACCAGGAAGAATTCAGAAAAAGAAACCCAGTCTGGGTGGGTTAGAGGTTGTAATCTGATCTAATCTCCTGAAAGAACAAGATGCTTAATAAGAAAATACATCAGTACTTTTCTAGGAACTATTTACATGACTCCTGGATTCAAAACCTACAAACATCCTTACGGACCTAAAGTTCACCCATAGAACTTTACCCTAAAGGTCTTTTCTACCTCAAATGTAAACTCTGTCATCCTACTGATGAATAGATTCGTAGGTCAGAGTTGACTTGCAGGTTTTTGTCAGGTAGAGATACAAATCATTTCTGTCTAGTAGAAAATTTAACCCCATAGTACCCATAGCATGATCACTAGCTTTCTTGCCCTGTCGAGAGGTGAGGGGTTTAAAATACAAATCATGTGTGAAAAGCTTAAATGCAAACATTCTGAAGAAGCAACAGAATGTCTTAAATGGACTTAACTTGGCTACTGAGAGATAATTCTGACCCTGTCCTAGAAAGGGCTTCCCTAAGGACAACAGGACAGAGCGACTTTCTCCACCATCCTGCCCCGTACCCACTTCAATACAGACATTCCCCCTCACAGGGCAGGAACTTTCAGGTATTTCAAATTCCACTGGAGATGAGATGGCAGGCTGCCAAGACCTACTTGAGCTTGGACGAGCCATTGTTAGGCAAATCTTGGTTTGTATAGAGGCTGGAGGCTTCAATCCACAATACAGCTGGGAAAGTAAACGGCTTGGGACAATCCGGAGAGGTGGCATCAGGTTCTCTGCGTCGCACTAATTATGGAGATGGGCTTTAGAAAAATCACAAAACAAAGAGAAACAATCAGAAAATACTGGTATTTCTGCAAATATATACATACACACATACACATATATGCAAAAGAATGCCCTTAACAAAAATCTTCTGTAGCAATTTTCAGGGTGTTCATCCTCTAAACCAGCTGTTTTCATTGTGTGTTCTCAAGCGCTCCTAGGTGCCCAGAATAGTGGTTTACAAAGTATGGTCCCCAGACCAGCATCAGCAGCATCCCCTGAGATCTTGTTAGAAATGCAAAGTCATGGGCTCCAGCCCAGATCCACTGAATCAGGAGCTTTGGCAGCGGGGCCAGCGGGGCCCAGCTCTGTCTCCGGGTGATCCTGATGAGCGTGCGAGTTTGAGGACCACAGCCTCAGAGACTTGGGAAGGGGTCAGATGGGAGAACTCATTTGAAACACAGCTTCCGATGCTTTCAAAAAGGTATGAAGGGCTTCCCTGGTGGCGCAGTGGTTGAGAGTCCGCCTGCCGATGCAGGGGACGCGGGTTCGTGCCCCGGTCCGGGAAGATCCCACATGCCACGGAGCGGCTGGGCCCGTGAGCCATGGCCGCTGAGCCTGCGCGTCCGGAGCCTGTGCTCCGCAACGGGAGAGGCCACAACAGTGAGAGGCCCGCGTACGGCAAAAAAAAAAAAAAAAAAAAAAGTATGAAAACCACTGGCTTCTCAACTTTGCATCAAAATATAGCTTCTATGAGAATGTAAATTCTGAGAACTGAACTAGGCAGGGAAGATATGCGCTATGACAACAAATAGGGTTAAGATGACATCGTCTCAAAGAAACTTGTGACTCTTCAAGCACATTTAGTAAATCTTTACCTATCCGAGGAGTTATATAAAAGAAAAACAGACACAGAGAAAGGTAATATTCAGATCCATGACATCAAAAGGGTAACTGACATAGCTGACTTCTATCTAGCGGATCACATTGTTGGCAGAACTCAGGATTAAAGGTCTGTATATACAGGAAAAATAGAAAAATAACACATTTCCCAAAACTTTCCAATCCCTTTGGAGGACAACCTATCAAAAACAAATGCATTTTCCCTTTGACTTAGCACTCCCAAGTCTGGGTATTTTTACAACAGTGAGACTTGCACACATCCAAAATGACATATCTACAGGGCTCTTCTTTAGACTACTGTGATGAACAGCAAGAGACTAGAAACAACCTACATGTCCATCTGCAGGGGATGAGTTCAATAAACAATGACACATTCACAGTATGCAACATGGCTGCTACAAAAAAAGAATGCACGTATGACTCTATGTGTATGATATTCTGGACTAGATAAAACTATGGGGACAGAAAACATATTAGTGGCTGCCGGACCAGGGAGGAGTGAATACACAAAAGGGCACGAGGGATATGGGGGAGTGACAGAATTGTCCTACATCTTGATTGTGGTGGTGGTTACATGATTGTGCTGTCACAACCCATAGGACTCTGCCCTAAAAAAGGGTTAATTTTACTGCATGTAAGCTATACAATGGTTTAAAAATAAAAATAATGGGTTTCAGTTTTGCAAGATAAAAAGAGTTCCGGGGAATGGACGCACAACAATGTGAATGTACTTAACACGACTGAATCGCGCCCCAAGTAACAGTTAAACAACAACAACGACCCAAATGAACAAAGTCTAATTAAATGTGATTTGCTGGTTGACTCAGTATTTATAAGCAGACAGCTCGCTGGCTTCAGAAGTGAGTATTGATATCAGTAGAGCAGAGGGTATTCAGAGAGGTTAAAAATAAATGTCTGGAAGATGAGCCTCAAAACTCTGTTCGTGCCAAATCAGATTATTTCATTCCATAAATCTTTCCAATGTTCAGATTTCACATGTTAAAAATAAAAAACAGAATGAGCTGTCCCCTCTAATCTGATAGAGATTTCCAGAATAGGGGACAAAAGTCAGGTGTGAATAGTGCCTTGTAAGAGGAAGGCAGGGGGATACAAGTTATACCATAGTACTTACTTGCATTTGTGTTTAAAAAAAAAAAATGGAGGAATTCCCAAGAAATTAGTAACAAGAATTGGGGTGAGAAGTAGGATGTATGGCGACAAGAGTGGAAGTGAGGATTTTCAACAGGTGTGTTTATATATTGTTTGCATTGTCAGTGCTCTCCAGCAAAAGTCTAGAAGACACCTGCAGCTGAGCAAGTGCATGGACGGAGCTGCTCACGGTGAGGAACTGCAGGCGTCCCGGTGATGTGCTGGGAAGGATTTATTACAGGATTTGGGCTTGTGTTGGGTAAAGCTGGGGAGGGTCAGGAAGGAGGCTTTGATCTGGATTGGATGCTGTCAGGAAAAAGTATACTTTAATTGGATAATTCCGTGAGTGTGATCTAGGAGGAAGGAGTGAAGTGAGGCTTGAGCTGGGATCGGTCAAGAGGCAGCAGCCCTCCTTTTAGCCAGGATAGGAGGGTGTTTTGCCATTTTAGTGGTTTAGACAAAGTTCTTATTTATGTCTGGGTTCAGACCTAATTATGGAGTTGTCTTATTTTTGTCCGATTCATCGTGATCACAGGGTAGCCTTGCCTGATGTTGGTGCTCTGTGAAATTACTGATGTCCAACAGGCCTAGCAGATAGCGCCAGGTCTAAATCTGGAAGCAGACCAAGCGTCTATCAACTCTTCAAAGGGTAAACAAATTGTGATTCATCCGTACAATGAAATCTTATTCAGCAATAAAAAGAAAAAACTGGTAATACGTGCAACACGGATGCATTTTCAAAGTACTACACAACAGTAATACGACAGTGGAGATGCCTGGCAGATACGACCTTAACCAAGTAACCAAAGTTAACATCACCAGTTCTAAGACATACTGACTTCATCTACCTCCTTCACACTACTTCATCTTCGTCTATAATATGATGCCATGAGAAGAGCAAAACGTCACTTGGGTGGTATTTTTCCCCAAAATGCATTAGCTCAGTTTAACTGTAAGAGGACATCAGACAGACCCCAACGGAGCAAGCATTCTATGGCAAAAGTGGCCAGTACTCTTCAACAAAGCTATCAAGGTCATGAAGAATAAAGACTGGAGACATGTCCCAGTTTGCAGACTAAGGAGGCATGACAACTAAATGCACTGTGGGATCCTGGACTGGATTCGAGACATGAAAAGGGACATTAGTGGCAACATATGAAGTCAGCCAATTAGTTAATGGTACTATATCAATGTAAACGTCCTAGTTTAGATCATTGTACTAAACTGAGTAAGGTAAGATGTTAACCTTAGGGGAAACAGGGTAAATGGTATATGGAAACTCTGTATACTATGTCTGCAACATTTCTATTAACCTAAAATTATTTCAAAAATAAAGTTGCTGGGCTTCCCTGGTGGCGCAGTGGTTGAGAGTCCGCCTGCCAATGCAGGGGACACGGGTTCGTGCCCCGGTCCGGGAAGATCCCACATGCTGCGGAGCAGCTGGGCCCGTGAGCCATGGCCGCTGAGCCTGCGCGTCCGGAGCCTGTGCTCCGCAACGGGAGAGGCCACAACAGTGAGAGGCCCGCCTACAGCAAAAAAATAAAATAAAATAAAAATAAAAAAGTTGCTTTCTTTTGAATAAAGGAAAGCATTATGCTTAGTGAAGGAAGCCAGACCTAAAAGGCTGCCTACTGTTTGAGACCATTTATATGATATTCTGAAAGGGCAAAACTATAGGTACAGAAATCACCTCCATGGTATCCAGGGACTGAGGGAAGGGGAAGGCAGGTAGAACCAGGGAAAATTCTATGTCTTTATTTTGTGGTGTTTTTACAAAACCCATAGACTGTGTAACAAAAGGGCGAATTTTACAGTATATAAGTTGCATTTCAATAAACCTCACTTAAAAACAACAAGAAACCAGCAAACTTTCAAGCAAACAAAATGTCAACAAATTTTCACTGTAACCTGTCTCTGCTTTAATCAAAAAGACTGGACAAGTAGCTTGGAATTCTGAAAAAGAGAGTAGGTTAGAGAAAAATAGTGTAGTGTTGGTTTCCAGAACAACCTCAGGGGACAAGACCCTTTGCAGTCATGAGGTCAGAAGCAAAGATAGTGCCAAAAAAGGCCCCTGGCTGACAGGCTGCCAGGGGGAGAAGGTGGACAGGCTCAGATGCCCAGTGGCCAAGGAGGGCCACTCTGGTGGGCAGCCTGCAGACTGCAACAATGGGGATGCCCGACTATCCTGAAAAGCCCCCCAGTGCTTTATTTAAAGGAAGCATGAGGAAAACAACTTGGCAGGATTTTCCACCAGCACGGGTGTAAGCTTCTGACAAACTTCAATTGATTTGGAAAAGCTAACTACTCGAACACCTCAACAACGGTGTTAACTATCTAGTTTATGCTTTATTTTTTTAACTCTGGAAAAATGTAAACATATACAAAAATAGAACAGCATTACTAACTCGTATGTATGTTCCCATCACTCAGCTTCAATAATTATCAAGAAAAGGGGTTTTTCTCAGATCCAGCTGAGGCTTTAAGATGTCGTCATAGATGATAAATGTTAAACTTGCCCATCTTGATGAACACTGTCAAGATTAATGTTCCCAAAACTGCTTCACTTTACTAAAAGCTCCTTCTATGTTGCATGAAGTTACTTATGTATTTTGTGCTTAATATGTTCCGTTATTTCTCTCAAAGATGTTTGATTGCACTGTTGCTTTCTAATATTTAAATCTGGAGACACCAATTTGATCCAGAAAATTATTTTCTTCCTCTGTTAAGTTTTTAAATGTTAGAAAACATTGCCACTTATTTTCAAAGAATTCTAGACCAACTCTTGAGTAAACTGTCATATTTTTTCTTAGACATGAAGGTAGGATTTTTAAAGTCATTAAGCATTTAAAAGGATTTAAGGATTTAAAATCCAATCAACAAAGGCATCAACATAAAGCAATTGACTATACTGCTATATGTACAGCTCTTCTGCATGAGCGTCTAAATGGTGGGTCTTCTGCTGGATAGCTGTGAAATGAAGGCAAATCTTCCTTCTACTCTGAACTTTACTGAATTTGTTGCTAATTATAAAGAGTTGTCAAAAATTTGAGGTTATTAAGAAGGAGTTTTTAATTAGATTTGACAAAATTAAGACTTGTATTATCTGGGTAAAATGTTATTAACTTTTCATCTAAGTTTTTCTATTCAAATGTTCTCATTATTGAGTAATAATAATTACTTTCACCATAATACTGAACTCAAAATAATAAAATGGAAAGAAGTTTTCCTTGCTCATGTTTCAATATTTCCAAAAACCACTAGTATCTAGATTGTTTGTCTAGGAAATGCAATGAGCAAGTACTTTGGGGGAAGACAGCTTTAGTTCTCAACTTATGTGAATTACAATGTCTATTGACATACACATATATCTTATATATATAAACATATATATGCATATAAACATACTCATGAATTGTATACAATTAAAATACTTTTAAATATTTAAAAAAATACTTTTAAATATTAAAATACTTTTAAAATACTTTTAAAATACTTTAAAATACTTTTAAATATCATATTCTTTTTATTTCAAATCTTTTATCATACTAATTTATTAGTGGAGTCTAAGTTTTTCATGTCTATCCGAAGTAATGCATCAGCGAGATAATTTTGGTCTTGTGGGTTACAAAAACTAAACAGGTCTACTGCCTGTTTTATTAGTCATCACATGATTTTTTTTTTAAATGAATGTAGGAATTGTTTTGCTAAATTTTCCATTAACTTAGAAGATGTTCTCCAAGTCTCTCAGTAAATGTGAAAACAAAGGAGAGCTTAGGAACAAAACTTTTACACGTTTCAGAACAGTGCCACCTGATCTCCATGATTGTAAATACTCAGAACATAAGTCTATTCTCAAGATGCTACCTCAAAGTATTCATCGGAAGCATCCTCTGCGCCAACACTTATCTGCGTTTCTGAGGGATGAGGGTGGGCAGTGGTTCTAGCTTCTGCAAGCTCACAACCCGATTCAAGTGCAAAAGCAAATACCTGGGTGGTGCAGTGGTAGGGTAGAAGGTCCCCACTGTGCTGAGTCAGAGGAGGAAGAACTCAGGTTATCTGGTCCAAAAGCCCTCAGGGGTGAAAAATGCCCTGGGTGAAGCCACCAATTATCCTGCCTTGATTTTACATTCAGGTGGGAAGAAAGGCCTCAGGAGAGAAAAACTCATTCATCACAGTCATTGGGAACTTTCTGGGTGCAGGATAGGTTCCCAAACACTGATAGTACTCTGGGTGAATGGCAGTACCTACTTAACCAGTACCTACTTAACCAGGCTTTCTTGTGAAACTGCAAACTCACCTACCCAATTAGAAAAAAAGAAAAATGTCTCAGGTTCCCTGTTGAGAAAGGGGGCACCCCACCAGTTCTGAAAAATACAATAAATGTAAGGTTATATTAGGAATTCGAGAAAAAAAAATTTACAGAACATTAATTTAAAATACATGATAATGGGCTTCCCTGGTGGCGCAGTGAATAAGAATCCGCCTGCCAATGCAGGGGACACGGGTTTGAGCCCTGGTCCGGGAAGTTCCCACATGCCGCGGAGCAACTGAGCCCGTGCGCCACAACTACTGAGCCTGTGCTCTAGAGCCCGCGAGACACAACTACTGAAGCCCGTGCGCCTACAGCCCGTGCTCTGCAACAAGAGAAGCCACCGCAGTGAGAAGTCCGCATACCGCAACTAGAGAAAGCCCACGTGGCAGCAATGAAGACCCGTCGCAGCCAAAAATAAATAAATTTATTAAAAAATAAAATACACAGTAAGTACATTGCAAAGGAACTGCAAAAACTTACACAGTTGTTCACTAAATACTTTTTGAACACCTATGAGCTAAATAAATGCACTGCTCTAGCCCCCAGGTATCCACACTGGCAGACTCACTCCCTCTCCCCTACTACCACCTGCCCTACTACCACCTGCTCTTGTCAAGGTCACCAGCCTTGCTAAACCCAAGGCTCCTACTTGACCACCTCTCCGAAACCACTTCCTCCTCCCGGCTTCCAGGCGCCATCCTCTCCTGGTTTTTCTCCTACCTCGCTGGATCTCCCAACCCTCCAAGGCTTCAAGATGGCGCTCTCACCTCACACAGCCAAGCCCGAACTCCGGAACTTTCCCCAAAACTTCTTCCTACAAAGCCTTAGGGCACCATCCTCCTTGATGCCCACTTCTCCTTTCCTTCAGCATCTCGCACCCACATCCCCACAGCTCAGCAAATCCCGAAGGCTGCAGCTTTACGCTACGTGCGGATCTGGCCGTTCCTCCCAGGCCCACCAGCCGGCCTAGGCCACCCCACATCTGCCACCCGGGCTGCTGCAGTGCCCAGAGTGACTCTACTCCAAGGGGACGTCCTGCCCGGGGCCCCCAGGGTCTCTCCCTTCACAGCGGCCTACCAGGCCCACCTGCCCTGGCCACATGACTTTCTGACCTCGTTTCCTCCCCTCCCTCGTCTCTCGGGCCGCAGCTGCCTCCGCGCTGTGCCGGGAAGACACAAGGCCTCGGGCCTCCGCACGTGCGGCTGCGGCCGGGGCTGCCTCCCGGGTCCACCCGCAGAAGTTGGGCGCACTCTCCTCCCCCTCGCGCTCCTCCTCCCCTCCGCCACCATCTTGGACCCCGGAATCGGCGGGTGCGTTTGAGTCGCGCAGGCGCGCCGCTGGCCGGCTGGCCCCGCCTCCGCGTCCGGCCCGGTGAGCCCCCGGTCCACACCTAGCCGCTGAGCTCGGCCCCGCGGGAACGCGTGCTCTGCCGGACCCCAGGCTGGAGCCCAGGAAGGCCGCGCAGATGCCGGCCTGGCGCCAGCGCAGACGCACCTGCAGCAGGCCCGAGCGGCGGCGGCGGCGGCGTAGGCGGCGGCGGCGGCTCTGGCGCGGGGACTGGACGACGAGGCCGGGGGCGGGACGACGAGGCCGGGGGCGGAGCGGCTCGACCCACGTGGCCGGGCTTGCGCGGCCCCTGCCGGAGACCCACACCTGGCCGGGTTCCCGAGCCTTGGGGGGCCATTCCTTGAGCCTGTTCATCGTCGAACAAGATTGTTCTTTTGCATTTCTTTCTTTGGGGGCCGACCGGCCCGGGGGAGGGGACAGGATCTTATTTCGTCTTTGTGAGCTTCCCAGATGTGTTGTGAACGACGAGCTGCTTTCCTCCTTGAGCCTGCAGCTGATCGCACAACTTTGCGACAGAGCACTTGGAATTATAGGTGGGCTTCCTCTGAGACGCTATTTCCAATGATGGTCAGCGGGGCTCCCAGGCCAGCCCACCAAAGCTGAGTGCCGGTGCTGAGATCCTGACCCCTTGTCTGAAAGGAACAGTTTCAGGTCCTCGAGGACTCTGTGACCCACGTGGCTCCACATGTCTGATTGCCCGTAAAATCATTCATCTTTCTTTGTCCTTGATTTAGCGTTACCACCAGCACTAATTTTCTCAGAATAGAATTGCTTCTGGCTGCGCCAGTAATCCTAAAGGCAAGCGGTCTGAGAACTTGGTTGCATAGAATGTTATGGTAACATTTGTTTTCCCAGCTCAGACCTCAACCACTTCCCTCAGTTTGGCTGGAAATCCAGCCCACTTTGCGGCCTCTCTTGCTCCTGCAAGCTGTACCAGCCTTCAGGGCCCTATGGAGTCCAAGAAAATTGGAGAAGGGCCTCACCTCTGGCTGCTATATTTTCCTAACATGTATATGGCACTTTGCACCAGACACCTCTAAGAACTTCACATGTATTAACCAATTGAAATCTTCCCCACCACTCGATAAAACATATAGGGTTATCTCCACTTTCCCCTCAGTGGGGAAACTGAGACCCAAGGAGGTCAAGTAACTGCCCAAGATGGAAAGACTGTTGAATAGTAGAAGTGGGATTTGTAAGTGCTTTGGCTCCAGACACAAGGGTCCATGCCACCACATATACTGCTACTCATTAAAGTGTTGTTGTTTCATTGCTTTTCCTGCTTATGATGTTAGCCATCAAGTGTTAATCCTTTCCTTCATTCAGAAATTGGGGGAGGAGGGAAGGCAGGCTGTGGGGAAGGCCCAGTGCCCCTCACTGCAACCTTCCGTGGCCCAAAGGCCCAATATGTAGCCCTCTGCCACCCCCCACAGGTTAGGCCCCCTCTGATGCATCACATTCCATCAAGCCCCAGGGGTCACCACCCACAGCTACCCACCACACATCCCTCAACCACATCCCTTCTCAGGCTTACAAAAGCTGACTCTTCCACCAGTGTCAGGCTACTTCCTCTTCTTGAAGCATCAACCACCATCTTTTCCATCCTTAGAGCAACTCCAGCTTAATTTCTTGATGGCCTTGTTCTAAAACAAAGGCTGGTCCCTCTTCCTGGAATGTTCATTTTTCATTCCTTCCATAGTAACTCCTCTCATCCTTCCAGCCTAGCTCAGTTGTCACTTCCTCAAGGAGCCTTCTCTGACCCCAGCTCCCCCTGCCTCTACTAGGTGAGATGCAGGCTCTTACAGCACCATAGCAGTTAGCCCAATGAAGACTTCAAATAGATTTCTGTTCATTTGATGAAATTTTCTCTCCCCACCAGGCTGTAAGTTTCCCTGAAGATGACCCTTTTGTCTCTGTTTGCTCACCGTGATATCTCCAGTCCCTCACAGTGCCTGATAGGAGATGCTCAATTTATGAATTCATTTAATATGTATTAAATGAATGAATGAACAACCCCGCAGGAAAAGCAGCCCAGAACTGAGAGGATAATGGCTTGGCTATCTTTGCTAAATTGAAGACGAAGCATATTACTTTTTCTTTCATGTTGCTTGTGGGTCCCTAGCAGCACAAAATAATTAGAAAATAAATAAGCAAAAAACAGTTTATTGATAACTCACCCTATCTACAGAGGTTTTTCTGGGATAACCAGGTAGGTGATGTAAGAGTTTAGGAGCACATATACTGGGAGTTGGTTCTGCCTCCTTCCTTTAGTGAAATTCAGACATGCCAACCTTTATCTCTGGAAAGACAATCTTCCCCCACCCTGACTTTTACGTCCTCTTGGGGCCATTCACTTTGCTAATTACCATGCTGCCCCTCAGGCGTGGACTGTCCTCTTTAAGCCTCTGGTACAAATATAAACTTGGACATAAACCTCTAGGCTTGGTGTCTTTCACTGATTGATTTTGACACACTAGGAGAAGGCTAAAACTTTCTAAGGGAGAACAACAAAAAAATAAGTATCAAGATCACAAAACTACAAGAGATAAACACAATCCAGAAACTGTGCAAAATCCCAGCCCCACTCGATTCTATATTTCCCAGCTCCAACCTGCTTCCATGAGATCGTGCCAATGTAACATCAACACCACGAGGCCAGTCCCCGCCCCCCCCCCCCCGTGTGTGTTGGGTCTTTCATGGAGGAAGGCAAGAGAGCAGGGCCCTCTCCGCACAGCCCCTAAGGTTCTTTAGGCTCCAGTGTGAATCCTGAGGGGTGGCTAACACCAAGCGTGACCCTGCCCTAAGAGGAATCCACATACACAGCACCCAAGGCTTGTGGCTCTTACCCCCTGCAGCTGGTCAGTGCATGTGCATAGGATATGGCTACATATATTATAGCAACCATGCACACAGCCCAAGCTGAAGAAGTAACATTGACACAAATAGGTGAACTGAGTGGTGGTGGACAGGAAATGGGGTTGCAGGTGTTTGCAGGGTCTGCAATGAGGAGTGTAAGATTGTGAGGACAAGGCTACATCAGACAGTCTGGAGCAATGAGAAGGAAACAGTCTTTCAGGGTTGGATGGTGAGCTGTGGAGGAGCCCATACCTGTATTCTTAATGTCTGAGAGCCCTATTCTTTCTTTTCATGTTTAAAACATCCAGTTTGTTGTTGGTTTTTTTTGGTGGATGCAATACCTTTATCTTTTCAAAGATATTGGAAGAATGACCACACCCCCTCCCAAAGAGAATTTCCCCACTGGATCTCTTCCGTTCCACCTTTATCTGAAGATACAGCTCTCCTTTCATGCCCCCATCCATCTCCAATAAGATGTCTGCATTCTCCACACTTAATGAGTGTTTGCCACCAAATGGAAGGCTGTTCACACTTATTGAGTAGGGGGAGGAGAGGGTTAGGTGGGGAAGGTCCATGCTTGAGGACATCTCTCTTCTGAGACCTCTCCACCTTGCTACTTGGTCTCCAGGGTACTTCAGAGATAAGGACCAAAGTCCCAGGAGCTTCCAAATCCTGATTCATCCTGTTGTGGGCAACCTCTGTCATTTGGGAGGGTTCGTTTATCCATAGTTCCCTTGACATAGGCCAAGCCTCCTCAGCCTCTGCATCTTGGTGTGTTTGAACCTTTTCTGGCTGAGGCCATCTCTGCCCTGGCAGAAAGCCTGTGGGACAGGATCATTTCTATGAAAACTACCAGCCAACTCCCCTTCCACAGGGCCACATTCAGCTTAACAAAAAACGTGCATGAAAAACTTTCCCTGCCAAACACTGGAAATGAAGCCATTCCCAACACAGCCCTAACTTTCTTTGCTCTGCCCCTTAGGTCCTTCTAGCTGCACCATCCCACCTTTGGGCTTTTTCAGGTATGTGCTGGATATCAATCCCTGAGTCCCTCCAGCTCCAGGGGGACACAGGTCAAGCTCTCTGGGGGGTTTACTGAAGCCCTCCTCACTTGGCATGAAGTGAGAGCAAAAGCTCCCCTCTGTTCCCCCATGAAGGTACAGGAAAGACACCTACATTTTAACAACTATACCCAAAGAATATTTTTCCTTTTATACACCCAAGGGTGGGTGAGGGACTTATGATGCTGTATTCTTAATTTTCAAAACCTAGAAACAACCCAAATGTCCATCAACTGTGAATGGATAATCGTATTGTGGTAGAACCTTACAATGAGATACTACTCAGCAATAAAAAAGGACAAATGAATAACATATGCAACAATATGGATGAATGTCAAAAGCCTTATGTTAAGTGAAAACAGCCAAACTCAAAAGGCAACAAACTGTATGATTCACTTATATCACATTCTGGAAGAAGCAAATCTGTAGACACAAAAATCAGATCAGTTGCCAGGTGATGGGGTGGAGCAAGGGATTGACTACAAATGGTCATGAGAATATTTGGGGGAGAGAAAGTCTGTATCTTCACTGTAGTGAGGATTATATGACTACATATATTTGTTGAAACTCATAAGACTGTACATGAAAGAAGGATGAGTTTTAGTGTATGTAAATTATAACTCAATAAAACTGACTTTAAAAAATAAGAGCTCTCAGTACTTTATAAGCAAAGAATGAGGACACAGTTTTATATTAGTTATCTATTGCTGTGTAACAAATTATGACAGAACTTAGAAACTCTAAACAACATTTATTATCTCACAGTTTCTGTAGGTCAGGAATTTGGGAACAGCTTAGCTGTGTAGTTCTGGCTCGGGATCTTTCATGAAGTTGCAGCTAATATGTCAGCTGAACTGCTGTCATCTGAAGGCTGGATTGGGGCTGGGATACAACAACCTTGGGATACTGTAGTTACACAAGCTGTTTGACTAACAAAATAATTGTCTAACTAGTAAACTGACCTCAGCTTTTTTGTACCCTCACCAGGTGAGCTCTGGGGACATTCCAGGTATAGAAGAATAGTAGTTTGGTTCTTAATTGCAAGCAACAGAAACCAATTCTGGCTTGTTTAATAAGAAAATTTATGTTATTAAACAGATATTGTATAAATAA